GGCGGCCGTGGATGCGCACGTAGGGTCGGACATCTTCAAGCAGTGCATCAAGACGGCGCTCAAGGGCAAGTTGGTCGTGTTGGTCACGAACGGGTTGAACTTTTTGAAAGATTGCGACTCGGTCGTCGTGCTGGAGCAAGGACGCGTCGTGGAGCAAGGCACGTACCAGAGTTTGATGGACACGGCCGGTGGCGTGTTGGCCAAGATGATGGAAAGTGTCCCGGATGCTCCGGACAAAGAAGACGAGGTCGTCGAACACCACGGAGAAAACGACGAAGAGATTGAAGCTCGCCAGCGCACTGAGTCAAACCGCAGTGATGTGGACACGGACAAAGCGAACAACGCAGCGTTGATTGCAGACGAAGACCGCAGCACAGGCGATGTGCCATGGTCTACGTACAAGGTGTGGATTGACGCATGCGGTGGTCTTTGTATGGGGTTCATGGTTATTTTCTTCTACGTGCTGACCAACTGCGCCAACTTGTCGTCGACTTTCTGGTTGTCGTACTGGAGTGAGAACGCGGCCGATACGTCCCACGGTCAGCTATACTACCTGTACATCTTCATGGGGCTCAACGCTGTTGTGATCACCTTGATGTTCGTGCAAAGTTTGGCTTTGTACGTAACGGGATTGCGAGGGTCGACGTTGATGTTCAATCAACTGCTCACGCGCGTCTTGCGTGCTCCGATGTCCTTTTTCGACACGACACCGCTCGGCCGCATTGTCAACCGCATGAGTAAGGATGTGTATGCGATCGATGAAACGATTCCAGCCAACTGGGGTATGCTCTTTGGCACGGTGTTCAGCGTGATCACGACCATTTGCACCGTTGTGTACGTTACGCCATGGTTTTCAGTGATTTTGATTCCGCTCGGAGTGCTCTACTACGCCAGTCAACGCTACTTTATCAAGACTTCCCGCGAATTGCAACGCCTTGATAGCATTTCCCGCTCCCCTGTTTACGCTCTGCTGACGGAAACCCTCGAGGGCCTTCCAACCATCCGAGCGTTTGGTGTTGAGTCTCAGTTTGCTGCACGCAACGAAATCATGCTCGACCGCAACCAGCGTGCGTACTTTTTGAACTTCAGCGCCAACTGCTGGCTTGCTTTACGCCTGGAGTTTGCTGGCACGATGGTCGCAACTTCGGCGGCTCTGTTCGCCGTGCTGGGTCATGAAGCCAACGCAGGGGTCGCCTTTGCGGGTTTGGCGGGTGTGTCGCTGTCTTATGCATTCAACGTCACCCAAAGTCTCAACTGGAGCGTTCGCATGTTGAGTACCATCCAAACTCAGATGGTCAGTGTAGAACGAGTGCACACGTACACCACGATGGAGGTGGAAGCCGAGTTGAACGCCGAGCCCATCAAGCAACTGGAACTCGAAAATGCCAAGTGGCCATCCCAAGGCAAAGTGACGTTCACCAACGTGGACCTGCGCTACCGCCAAGGTCTTCCCCGCGTCCTGCGCAAGCTCACGTTCACGATCCACGCCAAGGAAAAGATCGGGATTGTCGGCCGCACGGGAGCGGGTAAGTCGTCCCTGGTCGTGGCGCTCATGCGCCTGGTCGAGTTGGACGCTGGCCAAATCACGATGGACGACGTCGACATCGCGACGATCGGGCTCCACGACCTCCGCGACAAGATCTCGATCATTCCGCAGGACCCGGTGCTGTTCTCCGGCACGATCCGGTCCAACTTGGACCCGTTCGACCGGTACGGCGACGACTCGATCTGGACGGCCATCAAGCGCGCCAACTTGCACAACGCCGTGACGTCGCTGGACGACAAGGTGGACGAGCGCGGCCAGAACTTCAGCGTGGGCGAGCGGCAGCTGATTTGCATCGCGCGCGCGCTGCTGAAGAAGTCCAAGGTGATCTTGATGGACGAAGCGACGGCGTCGATCGACGCCAACACGGACCGCCTCATCCAAGACAGCATCCGCGAGTCGTTCCAGGACTGCACGTGCTTGACGATTGCGCACCGCATCAACACGATCTTGGACAGCGACCGCATCCTCGTGATGGACAAGGGGTCGGCGGCCGAGTTTGACACGCCCGCGCAGCTGCTCAAGAACCCCAAGGGCATCTTTACCAACCTCGTCGAGCACTGGCGCGACGACAACGCCGAATAGGCAGTAGCTCGTTAATCGTTTGGTTTATATTGAGTCGTGACAACATTGTATTCATGTTCTCTTTCCTTGTGAATGGAATGACGCCAAAACAAAGTAGTCGAGTCGGTAGTCGCTGGCAATCTCTAGGGATCGCTGGTGTCGTCCACCCGTTTTACAACACGACCATCCCATCACCGTACGAGTACCACAAGTACTCTCGTGCGAGCGCTTCCTTGTAAATGCGGTCGATAAGGATGTCCCGCGACCCGACCATAGCTGCCGTGAGCGTCAACACCGACGTCTTGGGGTAGTGGAAGTTGGTGAACAAGCCCGAGAGAACCTTGAACTTGTACGGCGGGTAGATGAAAATGCCAGCTTCACCCGACAGTTCTTCCGGTGGCGACGGCGCCAAGAACGAGTCCGCGCAAGTCTCCAACACGCGAGTGGCGGTGGTGCCAACCGCAATGACGCGGCGATTCTCATGCAGAGCTTTGTGGATTGCTGCGCCGGCTTCGACACTCACGTGGTAGCGCTCTCGGTCCATTTGATGCTGCTCGATAAACTCGGTGGAGAAGCTCCGAAACGTGCCTACACTCGATACATATTCGTGAAACCTCAAGTCATCAACTCTCAAGAATGCTACCATAGCCCACGTGCAAGGTCAAACACACGTGCTCAATGCCAGCAGCACGCAGGCGTTCAAGGAGTGCTGGGTAGAAGTGCAAGCCAGCAGTCGGCGCCGCAATGGCACCTACAAGTTGCGTAAGGTGGGCACAATAGGTGATTTTGCATTGATGTTGCACCTGGCACTTGGGCCACCGAGGTTTGATAGGCCTTTTCATCTTCTTTGTCGGGGACGCGGGCCACGTATGGCGGCAGCGGCATTTCACCGACTGATGCCAAGTACTCGTGCAAAGTCCCCTTTAAACCGAAGAGATTGCCACGATGAACTTCAGGATCACCACCGATGAGCTCGTTGACGCGAAAAGTCAAGCCCTTGGGTAACGTGAGCACGCTGCCAACATCGACGCGGGAGCTGAGGAGGACTTCCATGTTGGTCGTCACAGAGCACAGGGGGTCGAGGAACAGAAAAGACGAGCATGTCCCAACGATGGGTTCTTCCAGCCGCACCTGATTGAAACCATGAGACGCACTGAATTCCATACGTCATGATAATTCATGACGGCACCTGGGCAGGCACGACACGGGTGTCGTTCAGCACCAAGAGGTCACCGGGACACAAAAGATCAGGCAACGCTTCAAACGTCGTGTGTTCAATTTTGTCGGCCTGCTTGTGGTACACCAGCAGCTTTTGGTTGCCAAACGCACGCGGGCGCTGCGCAATGCGAGCAGAGTCAATCGTAAAGTCGTACGAGGTCGTCGAACTCATCTGTGGCCTTGACGCAATTGCGAAATGCGTTGGCGTCCATGATGCTGCAGATGAAGGATCGGAATGGTCACGCCAATCAAAACCCTGCGCCATGTCACTGGCCCATGGCGTTCAAAATATCAACATTCCATAGACTGTTCAACACAGTCTACGATGACTTTATGAGTGGAATTAATTAGCCAATGCGTTACGTATTTGGCCACGACAAAGGACATGATAAGATACACGTTCTAAATTTCACTAGTTGAGATTGCCTTGGATTTTCTATTCACGACGGCTCAGTAATCGCTTTCAAGCAAATTTCCTACACAAATTCATCCCCCCAGTTCGTAGACACAGATTCAATGTAAGCATCCCTTTTAAGGGATCCATTTTGGCCAAGCCGTTAATGGTATAGGGTGTTACCGCATTGCCCGAGTTCGATTCCCCGAATTTGCAATCTATGCCAGTTGATAAGGCGGTTTTTCCGCGTTAGATTTCTCAACGAACGTAAGCCTTCCCTACCTTCCCTGCAGTGAGCGACGGAAATTGTCCCCTGTGGTACTAGAGAAATATCTTGAAATTTGTATGGGGAATAAAATTACCCTCGGCGAAAATTAAAACTCCGGAGTAGTATTTTTCTTCAAGCTGTTTTTGAATTGAAGTGCAATATCCACGATGATTGTAGAAAATAGACAATTTAATGCTCAGCTGCGAACACCACGACCAGCGACAAATGCTACAATACTTCTGAAAACCAATAATATTTCGAAAATGAAATGTATTATCAAGTGACAAGCTACCCTACAAAAGCCCGTGGCAACGCATTTTCAAATGAGCGAGTGAAATTTTCACATGACATGTCCTCCCAGGCTTCATTAGTGCGCTTAACCATAGCCATGCGTTTTTCAGCTGCAGCACAACCGGTTTTCCGTGAAACCACTTGTAACGAAGCTTGCTCTTCAATGGCCCCATGACACCAATATCCAAAGGTTGGAGAACACTTGTCAATGTCTTTGGCAATGGCTCCAACGCGCTAAACAATTCAGATGACACCATATCATGAAACACCACAAACACATGACCGTCGAGGTTGTCAGCCAAAATCACAGAAGACCCATCAATTTCGAACTTGAGCAGCCCAGTCAGATACAGTTCCCAGACTTTGTATCCATCCACGCTTTCTCTTGCACGACGTAAACATGACCAGGAGGAAATGTCGGCACTTCCAAGGTATCGATCGGCCCACCTGGCTTGCCCTTGAGGATGAAAAGACTTGGTAGCTTTTCGCCATTGCAACGCACGGAGAGGACGGCTGTAATCCTGTCGGTGTGCTTTTGGCTCATGTCAACCTTGGACGATCCTCCAACTTTGGCAAGAGTCTTTGTCGGGGACAGTCATAGAAAACAGATGTTTCATCCACGTCGATAATGTCACGTGGCGCAGTGTCACGAAAGTTGTCCCAAAATACAGCAAATTTCGCCTTGGTCTTGGCAAGAACCACTTTAGGGACTTTTGTGAAACACGGTACTTGCTGCGAAATCCGGTAGCGGGTTGAGAATCGTTGACATAGTCGAAACAGGCTGTGGTAAGCTCGACTTTCGGATTTCTTCGTAGTCAAGTATTCTTCAAGCCAATCCATGTGATGGTTCTTCATGAACGTGATCAGGCGACCATGTGTCAGGTAGTGCTCCTCTTCGCGGACCGTATCCATAAACTGGAGCAGTTCCGATGAAAATGGAAGTGTGTCATGGCAACCTAGGCCGTCTAGCGTGTATTTCTTTGTGTTGCATGGTTTGTTCATGATGGAGTCCTTTCGGCTCAACCAGGTGCGACAGGTTTTCCAGTCGATGTTTTGAGCCTTGGCGTATCCTCTGGATGACATCGTGCTTGGATCGAATCCCTCGATGCACCTCTTGCTCTGGGCGTTGGTGTATCTGGTGTAGGCCATGACTCGACGTTGATTTGAAAGACGCGTTTTAGCGGGACATTTTAACCAATCAGTAATATTCGAGGAACCAGTCTATAACTTTTACGCCCTCAAAATGAAGATAAATTGCCTTTGCGCTCCTGGTATAAGTTCTCAACAGATATGAGTAGTTTTGGAAGACAAAATACGTTGAACGTCAGTGAACAATAGTTTATTATGACCTCGCGTTAGGTAAGACCCATGAGGTTACCACAACGGACTTGCTGAGGTTTAACTATACGGCATAACGTACATCCACGTCATGGAATGAACCCTGTACCACACGGGCTTCGAGCGGTAGCTCTACGGCGTGAGTTATAGTTTTATCGTTTGTGATGTTGTTGTGGCATTGAAGTTTCCAACATAGGACGGTTTGCATGACATAATAGATTCTATTGTATTATTATTGCTACATATTGTTTCAAGGAGGGAAGAGTGAGCATGTTCATGCATTGAAACGATACTATATCCCAATCATGCATGATATCATGTACTAGGTCGTAGAAGTACTTGTCACCCATTGGCTAAAAATACTACAATCTCTACTTGCAGATTTAATAGTACGACAATATTAAAATAACGAAAATATGGTAAAGTACCACTGGGGAATTTATTCCGTCGTTCCCTGTACACAAGTATCAATCACATAGAGCAGGCCTACAGTATGGAATGATGGTTTGCCAGCAGCGAAAATGATGTAGGAAAAGAATTTATGTCAAGTTCCACGTGACATCGTTACCTCAAAATTGGAATGGTTCGAGCACCTTCAAGTGTGGCAGGCACGACAAATTTATCTTTTGCAGTCAAACACGGCCACATCGGGCATGCGTTAAAGTCGGTAGATGCTGACATGCAACCAAACAATACAGTACGTGTTATGATGCAATAAGTCACCTCGATGAGAAGTGGTCATATCTCACAATAGAAACTGCAAGTATTTAGCATGTGTCTGGTGAGGCAGAACCAAACCGCGCATGCAAAAGCAAGGTTTGTTAAGAAAGAAAAGTTCCTAAGTGCGGTCCGCGTTATATCGATGTCTCTAACTTTACTGCAATAACAAGAAATATTTGTTGGGATGTGTGCTTGTTCGCTTGTCTTGGTGTGGTCGGTAGGGTACTTGGGGCTAACCCCCTCCAGAATTCAATTGAGGTGTCTGAGAAACCGGGATTTACACTTTGATTGGTTGTGATATATTTTTGTCCTGCTCACTGATTGGTGAGACCTCTAAGACTTAATATTCGTTGCGACTGAAATACGCGGTAATTCAGTACATCTGATTTAATTCGAGAAGGGGCACGGTGCTTTACCGAGTCGTGCAGCCTACTTGGGACAGAGGACGTACTTACTCATCTCCCCCACTTTGAAACGGAGCATCTTATGCATCTTACACATTGCATCGCAAGAGGTCGTAAGCAATAAGGACATGTTAGCATGAAGATCTTAGGGGAATGACTAGTCCCAGGATCTGATTGGATGTTTGTGGAAGGGAGTTTATATTCGGTGTTAGTATAGCCAGGATTAACGTCCCCAGCCAGTCTTGCAAATGCTTCTGAGAGCTCCCAATATAAAAGCCACAAGTTTTGCCCAGGAGTCCTCTGCTCCCCCATCAAGGTGTTTCATTGTTCTGTGAACTGAGCGTCCAAAAGACGAGACAAAGAATTCTTTGGTGCAATGGAGTAAGCGTACAACATTCTCGAAAGAGGAATGGCCTAGACAGGATATTCCAAGAGGTCAGAGGTGTTCTGGTCCTGAGGTCTAGCACCACGGCCATAAGGCATCAGAAGATGGAGTTGCAGCATCTCTGGTCGTTTACCGTGTTTCACGCGTTCGCCGCTGCATTCATTGAATTTTGCTGCATTGCACTCATGATCACCCGTGTTGTGCCTTGGTTTTATATGAGTTTGTATGGTGCCATTGTGCGCTCATTCCAACGTTCAGCTTAATTCAGGCTAGTTTATTCTCTCAGCGATCTATTTCAGTTGTCCATTTCCTTTCGTGTGAACAAGTCCCCCACAAAGGAGGAACTAGTCTTCTTCCTAAGGAAGAAAGGTCAAAAAGGACTCATCAAAAGCAACAATGAGTACCCCTATTGCTCTCGTCATCTCCTAGTCAGCAACGGAAGCCCCCCGTGCCGGTCTGGTCCCCGAGCGGGTAGCAATTGCCGCTGCCGTCGACGCGAATGATCGCACTGAAGCGACACCGACCGCTGACTCTAACCAAGCAGCCTCGGTTCACTGCCAGTCCGATGCGTCTCTGGTCCAAGCATTCAGCCGCATGAATATTGGACCCACACCAAGGCTCTCGATGATGTCGATGCCATTGGCCCCCCGAAATATTTCTGCAACGTCCATTTTCCGATCGGAAAAGGCGCGCCTCACTAGCACCAAGTGTCGCTGCCGACAGCTCTCAATCGGCCAAAAACGCTGACCAATCAGCAACAACAAACGGCCCGGCGCCTGACTACGCAACGCACGGGCAACCACAAATACAAGGCATGCCCCACCCCGCTTTGACGGTTCGACTGTTGGAGAAAAACAATTCATGCAAGCATACCAAGAATATTGGTTCCAGTACGCGTCCCTGCGCTTGTTGGGATTCCAATTCTATGTTATGCCTGTTGGTGCATGTATCACTGACGCTAGGCGAAAAAAGATCGCGAAGTACGACTTGTGCAAGCCCGCTGAGTTTATCACGGAAGACGAATGGGTTGCATATTTTTTTAAGGCGATGACCTTGGTCTAATTGACTTTGCCAAGATTGACCGCCACATGAAAGAATTGCGGCTAAATGCTACACTACAGACGCGAACAGCTGCATTTCCAACTTGTCTCACATGATGCCATGCTCGAAAAGCTGTCTATGACGTACATGATTGAATCCGAACCTAAGCGTGTGGTGGGACATCTTACGATTGCCATAGCGCCGCCTGGGTTTAAGGCGACAGTTCTGGAGGAGATGGGTCATTTTGACAACAAAAGGTACTCTCTGATATGTCGGGTTTTATTGCTTACTTGCGTGTGGCTATGAAGCCCCACATGCTGGGAACGCGAGCATTCGAACTCCCGGATGCAGACTTTTGTCACTTCGCGCCCCCAATCACGTCCCCACGGGATGGTTTCCAGCCCGTCCGTTCTGTATCGTTCGCGCCAGGGTCAGGTGATCATGGTGAGCGTGGTGCGCAACGGTCACGCTCGATTCTGGTCTCTTTGGACCGGGATCGAGGTGGTGGTTAGCTTTTAGCGGTGGCTGGTGGCCGTGGCGCTGGTCATGATACCTCCGCCGTCGGTCACCGCGCCATTCAAACCCTCGCTCATGCCGTTCTTGTGGTCTTGGTGGCCACTGGCCAAAGGATTGTCCTCACCGTTCCAAGGTGAGCGCGACTATGCTCAAGGCGACAACTACGGACCGGGTCTCTGGCAGCTCTGTGCCGGCGGTGATTGAAAATCTAGTCCCTGATGGTTTTGTTTTATTGGATTCGGGTGCGGATTCCTTGGTTGTCAATTTTAGCCTGATGACAGCCTTTCGCGCTGTTGGTGGCCTGTGCTACGTCATACTAGGCCATGTTATATTAGGGTCGGTTACACTATCTACTTCGGCGGGCCCTCTGCTTCTTCGAAACATTTCCGCGTGAGTTGTGGACGATGCGCTTGACACCCCTCGCCTGACCGTGTCTCGCCGTGCTATAGTGGCCTTGGGCTACCCTTTGGACGCCCATTTGGTCCGCGCTTGCGAGCATATGACGGAATGGAAACTGCCTTTGCCTGCCTCCGCGGTGTCGGCGTTTGCTACATCTATAATGGCTGCGGTGTCTCTTTTCCTGCCTTCGTCCTCTGCGGGTGCTTTTCAGTTTCCTGCCGAGGTGTCCGGTGTTCCTCTGAACTGCCGTCCCCACGTCTTGATGGTGTGGCTCCAGTCACGGTGTTCACGGCATTGCCTGATGGCTCCCCTTCGAGTTTTGTTTTTGACACGCCCCGTGCTCCACCGCTCACCATGTCCTTGGACGAGTTATCTCATCCACACGTAATCCACACGTGGCCATATTGCTGAGTTAGCTGCCTCCCTCGACTCCATGTATCGCGCAATAGCTCAGTCGAGTGGTAAGGCACGACGCGTCGCCAGGTCTAGCTGGTCGCGCGCCGCTAAAGCGGCGAATTTCGCCCTGGGTGAGTACGTCCTGGTCTATTATCGCGTCTCATCCGCCCAAACTCTCTGCGCAATGGCGCGGGTCTAAACGCATTGTCGATATGCTGTCTGATTTAATTCTTATCGTGGAAGATCTCTTTGATCCACATGGTCGCTCCACGTATCATGCGAGCCGCCTTCGTTTCTATCGCGACGCTGACCTCAATGTTACTGAGGATCTCCTCAACTTTGCCCGCCACAATGATGGCGGTCACATGGTCCGTTCCTGTGGTGGTGTCCGCAAAGGCCATCTCACTCGACGTTTTGGTGTATTGGTTGGGATTGGACGCCGCCGAGGCCTCCTGGGAGCTCATGCCCAACTGATGGAGGATGTGCCGGTTCTATTGCAACGTTACCTCTACGATAACCCTACAGCCCCCACGTGGCCGCAGCGCTTCGCGACTTATCCGCGTACTCCGGTGCTCCTACTCCCGACGGTGATCCCCCGCCTCCAGTCCTTCCCTCCGACGTGGTTGTGCAGCCTGCTGCTCGTGCTGTACCTTCCCTCGTTGCGCCCCCATCAGCCTTCAACCTGTCGACCCTGCGCTTGCTCCTGCTTCACCTGCGGTGCTCCCCCTTGACTCTCCTCGCATACGTCGCAATCCATCGCGGAAGTCCTCTCCACGAGGAGGAGGGCGATATTATGGTCCTGATGTCTAGCACTACGGCCATAAGGCATCAGAAGATGGAGTTGCAGCATCTCTGATCGCTTACCGTGTTTTACGCGTTCGCCACTGCATTTATTGTATTTTGCTGCAGCTGCTGAACCGTGAAACCTACGACGAGTACCTGCAAGCTATCTGCAAACGCCCAGGTCTCGACACCAAAATATGCAGACCTGGAAGGAGTCTTTCGAAGACAAGCATATGCTCAAGCAGTTCATGGCCATGCATGAGTTGGCTGGTGGGCCAAAGGGACTCGATGACAACGCGCCCGAAGCAGAGCTGCGTAACATCGTGGAAATGCCCAAGAACGGTATCGAAGTAGACATTACTAACCTGTTCTACGGGATCCACATGGAAATGAAGGATGACGGCGTCACGAACCGGGTGGTCAAGTTTATCGCCAAGTGCGACAAGCGCATAGATGTCCGTATGATGAAGGCCCACTTTGACTGTCCAGACATGCGAACGAACATATTCATCCTACAAATTGATCACATGAGCCCTGAAGTTGTCCGCGACGTATGTGAGCTGGAATTGGATTTAGCGTGGCATACGACCGAGTTCGATTGGGCTGCAATCAGAAAACCCATCATGCTCCACGAGGAAGTACAGTGTTTCTACTCCACCTACGGTGCGGGGCGGAAGAAGAAAAGGCCATGCCAAGGCGAAGAACACGCGCAAGGACAATCACTCGCGACATAGCTTTCGTAATAGACGTCCGCGACAAGACGAGCGCGACCGAAACCGAGAAAGGTCTCGAGATCGTACAAGATCTTCGACCTCATCTGGCGCCTTGACGCAATTTCGTTGGCCCCCATGATACTGCAGAAGAAGGATTGGATGGTCACACCAATCAAAACCCTACGCCATGTCCGTAACCCAAAACCAACAATGACGTTCAAAATATCTATCATTTCATAGATATCTCAGCATACGTCTAAGATGACTTGTCGTACTAAACAAATTTAGTATTAGACGAATTCTGCTAAGTAGAATTCCTTGTGAGAATTCACTGTGAGGCCACTTATCCGACGCATCCGTATAAAGTGATTCGAGAATTTCACTGTCCGGACAGCTCACAGTGAAAACTTCTTCCTTGTGGCCTCTTCCATCCGATTGCATCCCATGAACGAGAGCGCCAAGCGCAAGGCAGCATTCCGGTTCAAGTCAGCTTCAGATGTTGATCTCTTAAAGGAGGTAATACACATTCAGCCGTACGACGCTCCTTATGGAGCGGTGAAATCGCGATGGGACGAAGTTGCTGCAAACATGTGCATGACGTACGGAGATGGTCTGACAAGCGTCTCTTGCCGCAAGCGATTCGACGATCTGCTTGATGCGTTCAAGCGCAACACCATCAGCTCTTTGAGAGCTTCGGGGACAGAAGAAGAGTACAACGAGCGTGAGCAGCTCTTGCAAGACATTGTCGACTATTACTTTGATTTCGTCGCGTTTAAATCGAAAGTTGAATTCGCACTGTTTGTCCGATTGGGCGTTAAGGTCAAAGCGATACTTTGGAGTGCCAAAGGCACTCTGTTCAGTGGACTCGTGGCCTAGAGCGAGGCCAAGCACTGCCATCATTGCCATTGAGGTGTCCATATGGCGATTGCGAAAGTTGAAAAGTGAATTTTCTTGTAGCAGAACACTTTTCATTGGGAACTTTCGACGAGGACTTTTCTAGAAAACTTCACAAGGATTTTCACGTTTGCAGAATTTGTCTATTGATTGATCTCCCTTCCCCCATTGAATCGAAGCAAATAATGCATCTTACACAGTAAATCGTATTCTGCAGGTACTGATAAAAATATGAAAATCAACAGTTTATTCGAAGTTCATTCGATTTTATCGGCCACAAAACGAGCTGCCCACAAGGCCAGAGCAGAGTAGGATGCATTTGGCTCGCTTAAATGCTTCGCATATAACTCATACTTCTCCACAAGAGTCATTCGCAACCTCATTTTTCTTGGCATGCCTCGTTTAAATTGCTGTACTCGTAAGGAAATGCGTTCAAAAGTTTGAAAATCCCTCTGATATTCAATGCCATAAATTTATAAAAAATTATTAAATTTGCCCCGTTCGGTCAGCGGGGGGAAATCAGTACCAGTGTATTCACAACTACAGTAGTTAGTACAGAGCTCCCTCAACGTTTGCACCCTCACCAAAAAATACATTGTAAAAGGAAAACAAAAGAACAAAGGAAACACGATAATTGACTTTGACAGTTATCAGTTGAGCAATCGCTGAATTGAGTGGCCGCGGGAAACAATGCCGGTATGGTTCCAGCAGTTTCGAGACCTCGCGATCAAGGTCAGGGTATCTTGGACGTTGGAAGTTGTAGCGACTGCTAGCTGACCCCTCTTTAACCTTGTAGTCATTGAGCGCGCGTTGATCCTTGAGGATACGACGGATCGTGATGATGTGCACCGCATGGCCAAGGTGTTTTTTCACCCACGTTTGGACAGCAATGTTTTGATGGGCGTGTTAGCCTTAAAGAAGGCTCTAATAGAGTTCTTGTCATGAATTGTCAAGCGCCTGCTCTTCGGTCGTTTGCTATGCATTTTTTCAAATGTCCTGCATCGATTCCGCCTGACGTTCAAATTTTCAAAACGGTAATTTCAAACATGCCCCACAAACATTATATCAATCACTTTACACAGGTAATTGATTTTGAGTAGGGAGGGAGCAAACCTTGAGGGAGCACTGTACTTATAGTACACCAAACATCACTGGAACAGAGCCTTCCAAAACGAGTGACTGATTACCTCACAAGGCATTTCTCCCCATCGGCATTCATTCGCTATATGATGGTCAGCCAGCCTCTCCTCGGCTACGAACACCACGGATATTTCGCGGAGCCACTTGATGGTCGATCAGATTGCACTTCAGATGGCTCCACGTCCAAAGAATGCTGCGACTAATACTATAGTCTCATACAATCATAACATATGTATGTATTTTGCCTTGATGAATCATCAATTTTTATTCAGTTTTTTACTTCAGCGTCATAAAAAATTGGAGAAAAACTGCATCGCAGCGTTTACGCTGCTGGCCAACCAATGTTACTTGCTATCACAAGGGGTCTTAGTGCATTTTGTTCGAACACGCCTAACAGTCTTTCTAAAGCATTTTGCGCGAAATTGACGCTCCCCCACTGTCGTTTAAAAAACTCGCCAAAAATATTTCCTGATGTGAGTACGAATAATCGTCCATGTGCAATAATCTGACCGCATGTATCAGATCATTGGAATGCAGAATATAAATTCAACTCATTGATTGATGGAAACTTGTTCTTGGTGCGATAATACGAAACAATATCGCTCTGGCGAGATGATCAATGCCTTGCGAGTATTTGAATGCCACTGTAATGGTTAAACTGGGGTCACAAGACAGCGTGCACTAAACAATCAGCCAGAAGGCAATCTTACTTAGTCAACTTCTGCAACTCTTTTGATCATGATCATATAATACGATAAAAACATTTAATTTAATACAGAGAACGACGGAAATCCTTTCCCATGGATGGATAAAAGTATATCTAGTATCAGTAACAATGTGTTGGGTTACTGTTTGACATTGACAACAGCCAGATCAAGTTGTATCATATCATGTGCTTGGATTAAGCAATTTTGGCCTATGCATGATTCTGTATTGTATTGTCATCCATTGGAGAAAATTGAATAATGTAAGAGGATGATTTTGGAAGTCCACAGTATTAGTCTTCCTGACGATCAAGCACCACGGAGGAAGGTTTTCCGTCGTTCCTGTATCGACGCAGCAATCCCAAACATGTCACGGGTGTCATTCCAGGCAAGTTCACATCGCTGGCATCGCCCCCTTTTCCACATGTCTAATAAACACATTTGAGAAGCTGGAACCGAATCCATTGATATTTAACGTTAGTGTGCCAAACACATTATTAATACTACTGTAGTAGATGTAAGTTGCCGCTACATCATGGCATGCCTCTTGGTCACCTTTGTTCTGAGTTTGTTACACCTATTAGAATCGTTCGGGGATACTTCCGGCCTCGTCATGTGCGGGTCTTGTGCTGCACATGCGAGCAGCGCCGCAAACCTTGTTTGATGTCCCAGAGAGGGTAGATATGTACGTTACATCTGCATCTACGTACGAGCGAGTGACTGGAGATTGCTCATCGAATCAAGGCAAGGTGTCGTAGGCAAAGAAACTATGCAAAAAGGCGCTACCACCGTCTTGCGAGCACAATGACTGATGCCTCGATTTTTGCACGCGTCGGAAATGAATAACCTCTCTAAACTAATGCCAGACAGCATTGTAAATGTTTAGAGGTCCAGGTAATTGAAATTCAAATTTGGTGCCCAAACAGCCGCAATGCCATCAGGTGGGAACTGATTGACCTTGCAACAAAAAGATACACTGCGTATCTTCTACAATTGCCAGCCACAAGGGTCCATGACATATCCCAAATTAACCACGTGGGCCAATAAACAATTTTGATGCTTGGTCCACTTCAGTACAGTTGGTCGTAAGGCCATGCATCGCCGATCAAACTTAAAACCACCAAAACATTCCGAGCTCGACGAACAACTGGCCAAGTGGGTGGACGCTGCAAACACAAACAATATACGCATAACCGGGCCAATACTCAAGCAAAATGCGCTACGCCAAGCTAGAACTTGTAAATTTGATATTTGTCGGATAATTTAAAAATTATATAGCTTTTATACTTGATGAATTACCCATCGTGCAAAAATCGAGACATCACTGCACTTCCGCGACCGGAAACTGAATTGTCGTACGATGCAGCGCCCTTATTATTATGACAAACCTATCTGCAAGTACTGGACAGCTGTGTCAACTGGAATTGCAATCGTTTGCTTCGACAGGGTTATGATGCACGTTATGTATAACCTTCCACCTGGCCAAACTGGGAGGTGTAACGAAATTAGAAATATCATAGAAAATATTTTAGAATGTCTACACTGTCAATTTCAATTTCCTCAAGTTGCCAAAAAATTCTGGGTTCCATGGCAGCGGGCACCTGAGGCTATGGCGGGTGCTATAGTCTGCCTCTGCCAAAATCAGTGCCTCTCTACGGAGACTACACGCCGAGAATGGAAAGAGAGCATGGCAGGGCACGGGTTGTTAAGTCCAACGGTTTCACGGTTCCTTTTTGGCCCGGTCCCCGCGGTATGGTACCTTGCATGCTGGAAATGAATGTGTTTATTCCATGGTACGATTCCTATCATATTCCTCAATTTGAATTGTTGCTCTCATTTCAGCTAGCAACGTGACTTTGTCTTCTGACAATACAGTCTGATGCAAAAGGTTAAGACACCAAGTATATTTGAGCTATCTCATTGAATATTGAAGTACGTCCAATTCTAATGGTAGTGTTCGATTCACCATGAATAGCAAAGCACAGCGAGACCAAAATAACATAATTTAGATATAAACTGCAGGAGATATTGATAAAAGTCTGTTTTAATACGAGTGCAAAACGTTAAAAACATGTTAGATATCTTCCCGCCCAACACGAATTCAAACGAAGTACACGTGGCCCTGCCAATGATGGCACATCACTTTGCATTCTGAGGCCACAGAAGACATCTCTGTGGTCTCATGAGACTGGGAGCACAACTGACGGAGTTTGAGTGCGGGAAGTTTGATGTGTGCATTGAATTCGGCCTTAGCGTAGCCAAGACAGCTAAGTTTATCAATCGAAGCCGAACTGTCGTTTACAACTACTTGCACGACCCACTTGCCTTTGGCAAACGCTTCTCTGGTGGCCTTCCTTCGAAGCTATGTGACCGTGATCTACGGAACCTTTTCGCTGCTGTGACCAAATCGCCGCGAAATTGCGCACAACTCAAGAGTGACCTCGACCTTGACGTCGACCGTACGACAATCTCGCGAGTCATAAACTCATCCACCCGTTTTGAGTACATCAAGATGAACAAGATGCCTCAACTCAAGGCAAAACACATGGAAAACCGTGTTTTATGGGCCGAGCGAAACATTGACATGGGATGGGACGCTTGGAGTCGTGTAATCTTCTCCGATGAGAATAAATGGTATCTTGATGGCCCTGATGGACTCAAGTCGTATTGGCATTTCATCGGGCGCGATAAAAAGGTGGTTCTTAGCCGCCAAAATGGTGGTGGATCCGTCATGGTGTGGGGCGCGATTTGGGCCGACGGCAAAACCGAGTTGGCCTTCTTAGAAGGTCGCCAAGACTCGTCAGCATACATTACAACAATTTTGGATTATATGCTGCCCTCAGCCCATGCCTGCTTTATGGATTCGTTCGTCTTTCAGCATGACAATGCGACCATTCACTCGTCGAAGGAGACTGCCGAACGAGAATGGGATCATCATGATGGAGTGGCCTGCGCTTTCCCCTGATCTCAATCCAATTGAGAACGTGTGGGAGTACCTTTGCCAACGTGTCTAAGGTAATGGTAAACAGTATTCCTCAACAGAGGCGCTGAAAAATGCGATACTGATGCACTGGAATGCCTTGGATCCGGAATACCTGGGAAAGCTTATTCGCAGCATGAAAACCCGCTGCATTGCTGTGTTGAAGTCAGGAGGGAAGCCTATTAACAACTAGTAGTTGGTTTTTGATGAAATTGTATCTTTGTTGATATGTTTTGAGGCGAAGTGACTTTGTTCTTATCATTTTGCACACTCTCTGGATCAGAAATATTACTCTTGGCCTTGATCGCGAGTTTTTGGTGAAGTTTTGAGTCACGGACGTTGTGGTGACCTTGGCGATGTCGTAGATAGCAACATATTGAAATATAACCTTTATTTCATTGAGTGACGCTTGAAATCTGTGGTGACTTAACGTTTTGCATCAGACTGTAGTTCGGAATTCGTCGGTGGCACTTGAACTCTTTGAGCTTATTTTGTAAACTCACATTCATAACCAAAATTGTACGCATCGATGACATGAGCGTAGCGACTGAAGAACTCACGAATGGACACCAGAGAAATTCAAGACTTTCATGTACACAAGTCTGCAGTCTTTAACGAGTATGTGGGCCATACCATGTATTTTCCACCATTCATGATAAACGACAACGTCTTCGCCCAATTCGTTTGCGGCATTGTCTATGAAACTTGCGTTTTTGGTTTAGGGTTGACTAGTGTAGACACCATTTTCTGTTGGTTGTGGTCGGGCGGTGTTAGAGCGGCTTGATCGTTGTCCCGTGCAAGGCTTTTAAATTGACAAATAACCAAGTTTCCGGATAAAATCCATATTTTATCGGATTATTCTCAATACAAACGACAAGTTTATCACCCGGTCACCCCTTGGCAAAACTAGGTACCAAGGGTGGCAGACCCTGGTTTTTTTCAATCGGGTTTTTCCAGGTCTTAATATAAAACCCGATTGTTTGAGGTCGAACGAAATCGGGTTTTATTCGAAAAATCGGGTTTTTATAGCGCTCCTTGTTGAGAGGTGGACAATTGGCAGTTTCCATTGCACTTGTGATCATGTCCGACATCGTTGTGGAGGCGGAGGCTACCGTCATTGACACCGAAAGCGACCGACGACGTTAGCCCACACCAGCACAAATTGGCCCTCTGTAAGCACTGACACATGCTCGTGAATAAAACCATAATTTTTATACCCAGGAATTGGGTTTTAATTATTAAAACCTTAAACATGAATTGTCAAAATGATTGGGTTTTTACCACCTTACAGTAGTAGCTACCAGCTAAATTATGTAAACTGACAATATCCTTACGTCGGAATGAATCCTGTTGCAAATTTATATCTGAGGCATGACTCCTCTTCCTCCGCATTGAGATCTGACGAAATTAAAAGAAGTTCACACAATATTAGTGAAATGTTGGAAGTTGATAGATGAAGTACACCATATTTTATCCAATTTATGCGTGCTTTTACTGACATTTGAAGTTCGGCGAAGGCTTCAAGGAAGCTCGACACGAACGCTGAAGTGTTCGACATTCGCTTGACGATGGTCGACATAGCTCCAAGACGGAGACAAGTCCCTTTTGTCTCCGACTTGACGCTCGAGTTCGCGGTCGGGGTCTGAAGAGATTCAGAACCGACTGTGGGCCAGCGAAAAAGGTGACGGCGGCATCCTTGCTGTCCTGACTTTCGTACTGAAGATAGTGTGATATTGAGCCAAAATGGCCATGTATTGGTGTCGAGGCCAACTCGTGATGAAGGTTCAGCACGTTGAGGACAGAAAAACGATCCAACACGAGCCATTCACAAGGCAAGTGGAACCACAAAGACAGACGAATCGTCGGTAGACCGGATCGGTCGGGTGGGTGAGGTAGCGAGAAGAGCAGCTGTGACCTTGTTCTGCATGTCGGCGTTGGATGCTCAACACGATGCTGGCATGAAAGCAATGGTTGCTGTGGGGAGTGAGTCCAACGTTATGGCCGCCATCGACCCTAGCCCAAACATTGGCATGCATTTCCTGCGACCAAAGTAGTTTCTAGCGGCTGTGCAGCGCGACGAAATTCGTGGTTGTATGCTGGAAGGTGTGACATGAAAATGCAATATTGATGTTTGCAGAATCGTAAAAAATATTCAATTCATCCTACATCGAGGCAAGATCTTCCATGGCGGATCGGATCACATTCCACTAATGTCCCACTCGGAGGTCCGAACGTCCGCAACACGTGAAGCTGCGCTTGCGCTGTTCACCGGAAGTGTCTACGGCGGTGTGCACACGGTAGTTGGCCATCCCTTGGACACGATCAAGTCGCGCTTGCAAATGGACTTGGCCATGCGCAACGCGAGCGCGTTCGACGTTGCAAAGTCGTTGTGGCGAACCGAAGGTATTCGAGGCTTCTTCCGGGGGTGCGTGCCGCCGCTGTGGGGCTCGATGGTGTACCGTGGCGTAATGTACAGTGGGTACGAGTTCTCGTTCACGTTTATCGAGAAGGAATTTCCCGATGACCACTTTCTCAAGAACGAAATCGCGCCAGCGTTTCCCGTGCGGCCGATGGTCGTGGCGTCCACCGTATTTGCCGCGTCGTGTCGTGGAGTCATTGAGAGTCCCATTGAATACGCCAAAGTCATGGGCCAAATGAAGCAGTCGTGGGTCCTTGGTCATGTCTACCAGGGAGTGCAGTGGCAGATGCTTCGGACGGCTGCACTGCTGATCCCGATATTCGCACTCCTCGATATCGCCCGCCTAAAGACCGACCTCACGAAGACACTTCCTGGAAACTTCTTGGTCATGTCTGGTGCGTGTGGTGTGTCGTATTTGTGTTGCTGGCCGCTTGAAACGATCAAGAATTTGGCCCAAACCGGCATCGGGTAAGCAGGTTCGATGTGGTTGCGATGATGCGACAAATTCTGGGCTCGTGTAGGGGAAACTCACTCAAGGAACGCATCAACTACTTGGGTGGGTGGCGAGGCGTATATCGCGGTGTGTGGCCTGGTACAATTGCCGGTGGTTTGCGCAATGGTGCTGGCATGGTTGCTATGGTGTTCGCTCAAAAGTGGGCCACACACCTCGGCTTGCGGGATTAGTCCAGCATTTCTTGGTTCGACACAGATATGGTGTCGACGATGTCGTGGCAAGTTCAACTCTAAAAATTCTGGTTCATCTTTTGTTGCCAATCCTGCCGACCCATTCTTTCGGAACATCGCGCGGTCCATAGTCTCTCGCTAAGGGTGATTATGGGAAATGCTGGCATCATGTGAGCTGATGGACTCGACATCAGCAATCTTGGAGATTCTGCTTTGATGACACCGAGTTCATCCAAACCCCGAAAATTCCGGATACGGAGGTTCTCACCGGATAAGGATTGCCAATGTCATTTCCTGGACCAACATGTCGGACATGAAGCGGCAGAAAGTCCGTCACGACTGCGCGGGCGGCGACAGCGATGGAGATTCAAGATGTCCATATAGCTTTCCGTTTCCTCCTTATTCAATACAGGAAGACTTTATGAAGCAGATCTACAACACTATCTCGCAGTCCAAGATCGGGATCTTCGAGTCGCCCACGGGAACGGTTGGTGATCAAACTACGGCATCCGTGCTCATATTTAACATAGGGAAAGTCACTGAGCATAATCTGCGGAGTCTTGACATGGCTTCGCGACAACACTGATGCGAATGGTGTCCTCCTGCCAGAGAAGAAGGAAAATAACGACGAGACCTCGGTGGCTCCATCAAACGAACCATCTTGGATGCGCAATTTCCAAGTCCCCGCCGAATCCACGTCGCAACGGGCTCTGAAAGATATTTGCACCAAGTTGGCAGAGATCCGAGCAAATCCTACCCACAGTCGCATTCGCGACACACGACTCATGCACGGAGGAAGACCTCATCCAGGTCTTGTCCATACAAAACACAAAAAGGACGAGCCCACAGGCGACGAAATGCACATCGTCCCAGCTTACGAGAGCGGCAACGAGTCGCCAAAGGATGCAAACGACAGCGACGACGATGACTGTTCGTTGAATCGATTCCCTTCGGAGCCCGTCGACTACAACGTTGTACAGGTACTGGTGTCTTGCACATTCAAAGGTCCTTTGTGTGTTCAGAATCCCCTCCTTCCTTGCCGTGCACGCAGATCTTTTACTGCAGTCGCACGCATTCCCAGTTGAGTCAATTCATGCACGAAATCAAGAAAACAGAATTCGGTAAAACAATTCGCACCCTCACATTAGGAGCGAGGTAGATATCCCCACTGTGTCAAAACCTCTTAACATCAGCCACATGAGCAGAAAGTCGTTGTGCATCCACCCCGACGTGCGAAAGCTCTCGTCAGATACGGCCATGAGTGATAAGTGTCTCGATATGATTCAATCCACCAAGTCGAAAACGCCCGGCTGTCCATACAACAAACGAAACACTCAAGTGTACTTTCGAAATCACGCTCTTGTACGGCAACGCCGTCGTGTTGTTACCATTTTCCATTGACGAATGCCATCCTCTGGAAATGCGTCGGTGTAGGCCCAAGTTCAGGACATTGAAGAGTTACACGACCTCGGAGAACAAATGTCGAGTTGCTCGTACTACGGCACACGTTCGGCAATCCCGCTGGCGCAAGTGCGTGGCTTTGTTGTGTATATGATGTGCTGGGTTGACGCACAAAATGACTGCTAGGTCATTGCAATGCCTTACTCAATGCTCCTTAGCAAGTCGACTCGGGAATCGATGGGTATCAATATCAAAGGCAGCATCGTGATCTTTGACGAGGCCCACAACATTGCGGATGCAGTCAATAACACGTATAGCGTAACTGTGTCGGGTCAGCACGTACGACGGCCTTCCGAAATACACTGTCCACCTGCAATGACGATCTGTATTCTAGCTCATCAAGACTCGCCGCCAAGTATGGAGTTATTTTCAAAGGTGCGTACAGATGCAGTCCTCCTGAACGTACTTGAGCAGTGTGCAGGGTACAGACGTAGTGTTATCTAACGACGACTTGCATGCAGATACGAAAAACGACTGCAAGGACGCAATGTGTACTACATCAAGCAACTCTTGGCAGTACTGCAAAATTGCCACAAATTTCTCACGTCGAAGTCGGCGTTAAACGCAATATTCACAATCACCGACTTCCTCTTTGAAGTACGGTGGCTTTTCGGGATAAACTCAACTCGTGGCTCATTCCTGTACTGTCCAGGCGAAGGTGGATAACATCAACTTGTTCAAGATCCAACAATACTTGGAACGAAGCAAACTGGCCCAAAAGGTAATTCGAATTGTTCGAGAATTCGACATGAACAAGTTTTCGCTCGGTAGTTGCTCGGGTTTGTCGCCAGCGAAGATGGTAGCGAGGGGGTGGTGACCCATGTGTCTCCGCTACGAACGATCGGAGCTTTTTTCATGGCCCTGACAACGGCTACTGCCAACGGCCGTATTCTGGTCACGCAGCAGGTCTTTGACGCCTGATCAATTGGGACTCAACTTTGTTACAGGAAAAGGAGGAGGGTGGAAAAGAGCATTGCCTCAAGTTTATGCTGCTCAACCCGGCGCTTCATTTTTCAGATATTATCGCCGAAGCCAAGTCCGTTATCTTGGCCGGAGGGACCATGCAACCTGTACGCATATTCAGGCGCATTTCCACGATTGATGAGCGAAGATGTCGGTTTGGTAGGTGTCGCAAGTATTGCACTCGCTGCTCCTGGGCGTCGATTCCCAGCGCGTCGACATGTTTTCATGCGGTCATATCATTCCACCAACAAATTTGACGAGCGGTACCTTTTCCATCACTACAACGTGGCTAGAGAAGCTCATTTCATGTTCTAGTTGCTCTGGCGGTGGGGCCAACCAACACGGAGTTGGACTTTACATTTTCCAAGCGCAATCGCACAGAAGTACGTGGAATTCAGGTGGTCTTGTACAAAGGTCATGTCGTGGTCTAGGTAATGGACGAAGTCGGTCGCATCGTGCTCAATCTCGTTCGCGTCGTTCCGGGTGGCCTGGTCGTGTTTTTTCCATCCTACTCGTATGAAAATCAAGTAGTCCAGCATTGGCAATCCACAGGTAACTACTTCGGCTATTTGTTGAATCAAAGGAACCGACGATGTTTGATGACGGCACCACGAGGTGTGTTGGCTGCAATCGAAGCGAAAAAAGTGGCTTTTCGGGAGCCAAAGTGCACAGCCGAAGTCGATTCCGTGTTGACATCGTTCGCCGCTCAGTGCCAAGCCTCTGGTAGGCCTATCAACGCACATCGCAACACCACAAGTTTGGCACACCACTTGAATAGGGGCGATTTTGTTTAGCGTGGTGGGGGGTAAAATGTCGGAAGGTATCAACTTCAGCGACGACTTGGCTCGGTGCGATGATCCATTCTTCCCTCGAGCGTGATACATATTGCATGAATGTCTAGTTGCGTTGTCATGGTCGGATTGCCATACCCAAATCCACATGATCCCGAGCTGACGCAGCAAATGGAATACATGACCCAGAGCGTGTCGGGGCTGTCGGCGCATGACTTTTACACGAATTTGTGCATGAAGGTACATACGTCGGCATGACACTGGTGTTGCCACGTTTGAAGCCTATATGGTCTAGGCCGTGAATCAATCGATTGGGCGATCTATTCGCCATCGAAACGACTTTGCTAGCATTGTTCTGCTTGACCGTCGCTACAACACAATCGCAATTCGGTCGCGGCTCCCTCGATGGATTAACGATCGCACGGTGTCCTACCCCACGTTCGGCCCCACGATTCCACATCTGGTTCAGTTTTTCAAGCATCATCGCGCCAACGAAACCAATGCTGGAGGCAGAACAAGCTAAAATGCACAAAACGAGCTGCCGTGCTCACCCCAAGACATTAATGAGCGGTAGTGAGTGCAGTGGCATTGATAAAGTCAATAGATTTCCCACACTTGACCGTACTCAATTCCGTCAGCGACAGCTCTTTTACAAGGTGACTAGCCAGCGCCTCCATCGCGATCTTTCGTACTTCGCATCCATCACAACCAACAGCAAAGGCGTGAGGCGATTCGTGCACAGGGATTGACAACTTGGGGAACTGCCGCAGTGAGGTAATGTAACAACCTGCCATGACATTCCTTCACTGCGCATCCTCAGGGTCCAATCGCTAGGATCCGCAGACGCGGACACAGCGTGCATTTGCATCTGTCCATTTTGTAGGCGTCGCTTCTGGGTTCGTTTGCATGCGCAGCACACGGTGATCGACAAGAGACAAGCTCTGACAAGTGTGTCAACAACGATGGGAAAGCCATACATGAGCCAGCCACAAGTAAACAAGTACATACTGTTACGACACACCACTTAAATGTCGACTTTGGCTTCACAACGACGAGTTGCGTCGCGGCGCGGATCTGGGGGCACCTTGTCCCACAACACTTCCCACCCCGATTCCCCACTCAATCAAGTTGCCCGTTTGTAATGGTGCACTGCTTCGATGCGACAATCGCTATGTCGTACAAGTCACACCACATCACTGACTTAAACGTCAGCGCATTGATTTGACCGCACTAGCCTCCTCGCACTGAGAGCTGTTTCATCGACTGGTGAAAATTGATCCCGCCATATTCTTGGCGCAAGATGCACCCCCCAAACGAGCTGTCGCCCGTGCTTGTGTAGACACCATAGACAGCAATGCTCAAGTGCATCTGTCAACGCGGGGTGAGTGGCCAAGGCTCGCTCGACGACTTTACCTGAGGCGACGACATCGTGGGAGCTAGGGACAACTTTCATATCGATGAACCCAAAGGGACCTACCATGCGCTGAACCACGTCGAACGCTTTGCAGTGAGATGCTGAAAACGTTGTCCGGCAGCACCGCCAGGATGGTGACCGACCCGTGACGGAAGGCAAGCTTAACAAACTGAGACGGATCAACCTCAAGCCGCCCATGAGGGTCGAGTTGCGCGGACTGCCGCAAGTCGCTGGCCCATGTCCAGCACACTATTTTGAACGACGTTTGGAGGGGAAAGCGCATTATGTCGTTGACGCGAACCTTCGTCATGGCGTAGTCGGCGCCCAGGGCATTTTCCAAGGTGTGGGCGTATTAATGAGGCCGATGGATTTGTACGTTTGCCCACCCATTTCGTACTGGTCGATGTCAGAACACCACCAGTTCTCGCTTTCGTCTTGGCATGAACTCTTTGTGGCTGCCATCGTTCGCAGCCAGGCTTGGCCTTGCATGGTTTCCCTCAGCTCGGTTGCGAATTGTCAAAGCACCAGCGCCGGACCCAGCAACTCGTTCAAACATCGCAATCCCTCAATACGCAGGGCGGTTCTGCGTACACGGCGCAGTAAATTCGAACGGAGGAGCATCGTTGTTGACGAGTGGTCGAAGTCAACCCAACAGTATTACGTTGAATTTTGTGGGATGGCGTACGGATAGATGCGACGCAGCCCGACAATCGCCTTTCCGGCGCCGCGACAACGTCAGTCTGCTTAGACGACCCGAGACGACGAGGATGTCCAAGAGCTTTGGTGTCCTGGTCCATCTCAATTCGTCCAGCCGAAATTCATGCTTGAGGACGGTAGGCACAATCGACAATTTAACCTCGAGCGTGTTCCGACTCCGTGGTCTGAATGAGGTCCGAGGCCCGTTTTGATGCAAGCAAGATCGTCCAGCACACCCACTTGCCCCGTCGTGTGTCGGTGTGCAGAAACAAGACCACCATTCGTAATCATCGGCTCTGGCGGGGATGGCGAGTTGGGGGTGTCACGAATTCGCCTGTGCCTCCCAATGCGATGGCATGAACTGCAATCTTAGCGACAGCCAGTGCCATGGCCCGTATACTGAGCAGGACAAGCATTCGATCCCAGCTACCTGAATACACCACGCTACTGGTGCGCATCGGTGGCCATACCACTTCCCTCTTGATCGACGGACGCAACGATGGCAATGGGTTGGTCTGTAGTATGACAAAATGAACTGGCCCACGTCAAAGTACTGGCCAGAGGAGCGACAGCCGCCGCCAACTTGCCCGGGGTCACAAGCACGACGCCCGCGATCACTTAGATGACCCCACTTTTCTGGCCAGCAACCACGCAAAATTGCAGCGCCAGCGTCGGGCTCGACAGAGAAGACATAGCCGTCCGCGTCGCGTACGAGGGCAGTCATGGTGGATGTTTCAACGAGGGCGGATGTGAGGGCGCACCAAAGCAGCAGCGGTCGGCCAATCCAGACCCGCATTATACCCGGCTAAACACGAAAATACGGCGCGTGTTGCCCGTCCATCGGCCTTGTAGCCCGTGTGTCACCAGGACTGCACCGATAGTGTTCGCCACGACGATGGTGTAGGCGGAAGTCCAAAAATCACTAACGGCCCGCTCTGGTTGCCAACGACTTGGCAGTTCAGCGGCGATAGCTAGTCGGTGTGGATTTCAGACATCAAGATGAAGGTCGTCGACAGGTCTCCTACAGTTGTCCGTTGATTCAGTGAACACTGCGATCCGGCCGAACAAAGACCAAATGTTACCACGCGCCGCAAACAACCGATGCAATCATGCAGAAAAAGCCCAAGGCCGTAGGAAGGCGGGCTTGTGGATTGACGGAGCCGACCTATGTTCCTTGATGGCGATGCGCGGCGCAATTCATCGCGGCTTGCTCATACACCCATGCCAAGCTGACTTTAAAGGAATATTCAATCGTATGAAATTGGATGGGGTTTGCCGTCCACGAGACGTTGCAGCTCCCCCATACACCTTGTGCTGCTGCTCATGAGGGGCACTTCTACGGCCAGCAAGGCCTTGGTAGAACCATGTTGCTGAACCACAACAGTGTACGTTCGTAGCTCCAGTGGGTCTTGAGGCAGCGACCGTTTGTGGAAAAGATTTAGCGCAGGTTAGATGGTTGCATCCCCTACGTCATCGCCGTATGTATGTGCACGGCCCTGTGCTCACACACGAAAGAAGAAACCTCAAGTAACATTGCCAAAAGAATAAGGTGCCCATACCATCTACGACAAAACACAATGGTTGCAGTCGCCACAAATGAGAATCGTTAGCAAGGAGGACGCTCTCGTGACTAGCAAAGGTCCACGGAAATTGCCGCGCGAAGACCTAGTAATGTGAGTGCGGTGGGCACAATGGGGAGTCGATACACCGGCATCGCTCACGCCTCAGCGCAATGCAATCCATGGCCACCACCAGCCATGGTGTAACGTCAATCCATCGTGCATCCGTGTTTCGCTCGGTGCGCTCGCCAGCACCGATCTTCACGGTGACAGACACAATTCCACCGTGGCTTCCCGCTTCTCCGTGATTGCATGAACCAGAACAACAAACCACCGAATTGGGCCAATCACTGCGCTCCCGCCCTGAAGTGGCGTTTATCCCTTTGGGATATACACGACATGACGTGTTATTCCCAGTTTCGCTTGTCAAGGTCAAGGCGCGACATGCCATCGAGCACCCACTGAGAAGGGTGGCCGCTGTGAAGGCCTCCACTGGGCGAGCCATTCTTGAATACGCCGCATGCAGAAAGGTCTAGTCGACGGCGTCCTCGCCTACATCATCTTTGGCCTTTACCCGCTGTACTGGAAACTCCTGGCCGACGTGCCGTCCATGCAGCTGCTCGCACACCGTGTCGTATGGTCGATCCCGCTCGTCCTGGTGGTCATCGCCGTCACAGGGCAGTTCGCCGCACTCCTTGAAGCGGCTCGACACTGGCGGCTCCTTGTTATCTACACCGTGTCCGGGCTGCTCATGGGGACGAACTTGTTTGTGTCAGTGTGGGCCGTGAATGCTGGGTTTATCGTCGAGATGAGTTTGGGGTATTTTATCAATCCCGTCGTCAGTGTGCTCCTGGGCGTGGTCTTTCTCCGCGAAAAGCTGCGCTTGTGCCAATGGTTGTCCGTGGCGTTGGCCATCGTCGGCGTCGGCGTCGTCACGTTTGGCTATGGCAAGTTTCCGTACATTGCGTTCACGATTGCGTTTGCGTTCGGGTTCTACGGCCTCGTGCAGAAGGAGGCGCCGCTGAGCCCAGTCCAAGGCGTGACAATTGAAATGTCCATCTTGGCGGTGCCGTGCTTGGTTTACCTACTTGTGTGCGAAGCCCAGGGCAACGGTTCATTCGGTAGGTCCAGTGTGGGCTTGACGTGGCTTTTGGTCGGATGCGGGCCCATGACGGTTGTACCGCAGCTCCTCTTTTGCTCGTCTGTCCAAAGCATTCCCCTGTCCCTGCTGGGGATTCTCCAATTCATCGGGCCCACGATGAACATTGTGATTGGAATTTGCGTGTACGACGAAGACTTTTCCGGTGCCAAAATGGTTGGGTTCATCCTGGTCTGGGTGTCGCTCGTCTTCTTCACCGCCGAAAGCTTTTATTTTGTGTCGAAAAACTCCAACACCAGCATTGACAGCGACACCAAGCTCGAGGCGGGCGACGCTGACTTCCACCAGGCCGACGACCTGACAAACTAAAGTTGTTCATTCGAGTGGAATCGTGATTTGAAAACCAAGATGCCTGTGGGCAATAAGTGTCCTCTGGTAATGTTGACATGTGCAATCAACGTATTGACGACGGTAGGGAGTTCTATTCAAGCATCCAGTTGTCATTGGAGTCCATCCGTCCTGTCATCAGCTAAACTGCAACTCGAATTGTTGTGGAAGTCCCGAGAAAGTTGTGGTGGTTGACATGTTGAGCGGATTTCCCGTCGTTGCCATGACGTCGAGCTCACTTGGGCGACTAGGGCATTTTTGGGGCGCGGCAGAGAGCAGAATGTGGTTCTAGCTGATGCTCGTGCATACCGACAACTGTCGTACGGAGGAGTAAAAAATCTATGTGGATCATCCCATTCGTTGGGCATCATGGCGCTTCCATGGCAACGGAGGCATTTGTTTCAAAGCATTGACGAGTTATGCTGGTTGATTTGCCGATCTACTTGCTATGGTGACCATCAGGAGTTGGAGGCTTGGACGGCGCTCCTCTGCTTTGCTCACTCCTACGTGGGGTGCGAATCTCCATCCGTTCGAAGGCTGTGCCTGCCTCAATATCTTGCAATGCAGGTGACTCGACGACATCGGGCTTGCCAGTCTGCCGCAGATGGTGCACCATGTCGATTGTGAAAACGATGAGTGCCACCCAGACCACAACAAACCCAACCAGTTTGGCCGTGGGAAACTCTTCTTTGTACAAAACAATGCCACACAGAAACTGGAGGGTCGGTGTTGTGTACTGGAGCAGCCCGAGCGTCGTGAGCGGGATGTCCTTGGCCGCCGTCGAAAACATGACTAGCGGGATCACGGTCACGATGCCGCCCCCCACCATGAGGACGTCGGACGTGGCGTCCACGTGCAGAAACGCGCCGTCACCACGTGCCTCCATCGCAATCAAGTACACAAGCGCAGGAAGAAACAAAATGGCAGTCTCCATTGTCAACCCTTGGATCGATGTGAGAGGTGCCCGCTTCTTGACGTACCCGTAGCTCGCAAACGAAAACGCCAACGTGAGTGAGATCCACGGGAACTTGCCGTACGAGATAGCGAGCACCAATACACCTCCCGTCGCAATGGCGATCGCGACGAGCTGGGCGGGGCGCAGACGCTCCTTGAAAAATACGACGCCCAGGACAACAGTCAACAACGGATTGATAAAGTAGCCGAGGCTCGCCTCGACCACGTAGCCTTCGTTGACAGCCCACACAAAGATGAGCCAGTTGGCAGCGATAAATACGCTCGATGCGGTGTAGATCAGCAGGTTTCTCCAAGTGAACGCTGCGGCTTGCAGCGCCATCCACTGGCGCGACGCAAAGACGTACAAGAGCAACACAGCGAGCGACCAGACTATCCGGTGCATGGCGAGCTGAATGGCCGGGACGTGCTGTAGCTGCTTCCAGTAAATGGGAAATACACCCCAGATCGAGTACGCCAGCATAGCGTTAAGCACGCCGACTCGTAGCGACGTCGTCGGTGCCATTGGCACAATGATTCCTTCCGACGTCGGCTCACACGGCAATTCCGGATACATCCGGATAATGCAGCGATGTCAAGTTGAAGTTGAGGTGGCTAACGTGCCGGCCACCACTCGATCCCGAGTGGCCTCCAAGCTCAGCTCCACAATGCTATCGCTCTGCGCTGGCGAGATGGCTAGCCGTAGATATATGGCAAAACGATCTCGGATGGTGTGCGTGTTGGTGACAAAGATTTTTTCGCAGCTGTTCGCACTCAACAGTTCGACGAGCTTGTGCAGCACGCGATCCCAGCCACCATCGGATATCGATAGGGTGGCAGAGATAATCGTGGCGACAGGAGAGAATTGGGGCGGTATTTTGCATCTTCGGCAAGGTTCCCGTGCGCTGTTGGCCGCACCTATTGCGCGTGGATGGATGATATGCCACGTGGTACGCTCGCGGGTCCCCGTGTTGGGTGTTGTGCGGATGCCTCGCGGTGGCACGATGGGCAAACTGCACACATCATTAATTCGAACACGACAGCAGCAAAACGTCGCATTTGTCATTGCTCTGGACAAGTGCAGGCTACAGGATCCATCGAAAGTCACCGTGTTGACAGTTTGAGAGGAAGGAGACACGATACGAAGCTCGTGAACTATCGAGCCTTCGAGCAAACTGCGCAAGATCAACGCCGGTTTGCGTGGCTATTCTCGCAACCTGCCATCGTCCACAGCGCCTTCAGTCTAGAGCAGGGATCACATTATGATTTGGGAAGCCGGCCCATCGTCAATACGCAGTACCACGACATGGGTTCAGGGCGAGGTCGACGCCTCCATTTGCAAATTCGGACGGATGGGCTCAACTACACTTGAAGAGCTGGAGCCAGCACCCTACAGCGAGCTAAGGCTGCGACTACGTTCCAAGAGCCCCGAATGCATTCCTACAGTGAATCATTATCTCGCTGAAACCATCCAGGTCGCAATCGCGCCCCTGATCCGATTCAGTGACTTCGATCACCTACACCAATCCGGTAGCTAGACAATTTGCCGGCAAATATCACTCGACTCCACTCCACCCAAGGACGTGGCAGCGTCCGGGATCCTTGTTCAGTCGCGCGGCGGACGCACGCAAGGACGGCCTGACAACTCTGCGGCGCGATCGCCTCCTCCTCGTTCTACAATAGTCGACTCAGTCCATGTCGGCGCTTCCGATGGCCGCGAACCCAGCACAGACGAGCCTCAGTTGCCTACCCGCGGCCACACCATCACGTGAAAAGCACGCACAGGTCATTGAGGCAACTGCAGAGTCAGCACCACCTGCCTGCACCGCAACAGCATCCACAAGGGAAACACGGCATCAAGGCGTGGACGGCCCAGCGTTCCAGAGCCACGAGCAAAACTCTCTTGGGATGTGGCACACTCGTACAAGAGAATGGAGGGACGTCGGTAACTTAAAATGGAACCGAAAGGCTTCAAATCCCTCAGCGGCAGCTCCAGTCTATTCAAGTTCACCAGGTCTTAGCAGACAGCCACGGTACAAATGCAGCGTTCCGTATCAAAGGTCACCACATGAGATCGCAAGTTTGTTGCGCGGCTAGATTCAAGCCTTGCTCGCGCAAGATCCGTAAATGGAGGACCGCCGCCTTGTCGCCAGGCACGAATCGGAGATTAGGACGTGCAAGCAGCATCTAGCGGTGTGAAGACTTGTGCATTTGCATGCTGATCACTTGACGGCAGTGGTTCCTTGCATGCGCTAGTCGCTCGACTTTGAAACAAAGCGCTCTCTCACCAAGACGCTTCGTTTCCTTTTGTTCAACAGAAGCAGCTACAGCACCTCCGGTACGGTTCGACAGTCGCCGCATGCACCAGTGGGGACTGTATATAATCCAAGAGCAGCCTCCGTGATGGATCGACGACGACGCAGTTTGAGTTGGCGTGACGAGTCCGTGATGGATGTGCGACTAGCCAAACTTTCAGCATCCATTGCACAATTCGGTCTCAATGGGGCGTCCTGGTCTGACGAGGAAGTCTCAAACCATGACATCTTCCGCCACAGACGCATCAGGCACGGAAACTCGGTCGCAGCCACTCAATTTTATGGTGCATTACACTTCTCTTCGAAGGTGCAGCCCAGCCAGCCAGTCTCGTGGAGGAATGTCGTAGTGATTGTCGCCCGTGGTTTACTGAAATAGTTCGGGAGTTTGGTCCTCAACAAATACCAACGTATCCTTGACCTTTTTGCTCCACCCACCCAAGCGTTCCTGCAGTTCGTGCAGTTGCTGGCGCTCCAACACGCGCGGCTACACATCCACTGCCTTGGGAAACTGCAGTGAGTGGGGCAGGACCTACCTGCACCCAGTGCACAGACACGATTTGGTCGACTTGATCGATGCTTCCTTTGATCAGTCCCAGAGACAGCGCACGCATCGTGAGCCACTCCACTTGGTTCAACGGCAATCGCGTCGCCGTCGCGATGTCGGCAAACGGGATATTTCGCTCTTGCGACGGACGGTGGAAGATGAGAACCATTAGCGCCAGCAGCGCCACCTTTTCCTTGACGTAGTCGGCCTTGTTGACGAGCGCAGGCTACAGCATCATGGTGAACATTCGCGTTTCGTTGACTACTGATCCTAAACTGCGCGGCACTCACCTGCGCGTTGTACTCGGCGCGGTGGTTCCCGACAATGATGTTAAACTGGTCAATGTCACCTCGGTTGAACGCGTGCAAGAGGTCGCTGAGCCACTCCTTGTCTGTTCCTTGGAGCGCGCTCAAGATGGGTGTCGCCAGCTGCGTTCAAACAACAAGGCGCAGCTTCAGAAGCGTCATGGAAGATGCATCTCGACGCACCACTTCGCCAAAGTTAAACACGTCTTCCCCTGTGAGGGCGGCAATGCTAATGTTGACAGCCAAAGCGAATCGCTCGGCTGGCTTAATGTCGTCGTACAGCGAATACGCCAAGAACATCAACGCGCTCTTGTAGAATTTGTCGGCGGGACTGCAGCGTGGGTTATGTTGACGAGTGGATGGAAGCCGCGACATGGAAGCATACCCGACAGCAGAATAGTATTCGCACGCAACGCGGTAGTAAGCGGCATGCACTAGCGGGTCGGCGCCAACAAGTCCCTCGACCGCGTCTTTGTTATCCGCCAGAATCGCTTTGACTTCGGCGAGCTGCTTTAGCTTGACCTGGAAACTCGCCGTATACATTCGGCAAACCAAGACCGACTCAATCGCGTGGGGGTTGGGTGTCGTGTGCTGGGTGATCTTGGTTTTCTTCGTTTGCAAGTACGTCAAGATCGAGGTCAAAAATGTGACGGCTTGTTGGGGATCTGACATGATGAAGGCGTTGTCAAACGATTCGACGGAAGTGACGCATAGTAGGAATGAGGAGCAACAAGTGCAGGGGAGTATACACGCTACCAGCAAAGCGTTGCGCGATGTGCCCGCAGATCGTGATGAGGGACAGCTGGTTGATTTTGTCCTGGAAGGTCGAGATGAACTGCACGTAGAGATCGTACCAGTTCGTCCCGATCGCTGTGGCCTCGTCCTTGACGAAGGCCAAGATGTCCACGGTCAATTCATGGTACAGCTTACGACTGAAAAGCTCCGACAAGCGGGCGTAGCGCGCTGCCAACGCTGGGTACTTGGTCTCTTCTTGGCGGAGGAACTCCATGATGGTGTTGCTGGAATGATCCAAACAAAGGATTCGAGACCCCAAGTTGACCATTCTGGGGATGACGTTTCAGCCAATCACAACGCATTATATGAGCTCAATTAAATTGTTTTAACCAATCATAATCGCTCTATGCTATCCGGATAAGATGGAATGCGATCAAACTTTCCAACAGGGAGATGAGGCGGCGGTGGCTGAGGGGTCAACCTGACATTACTAGCTTCACGCAACGAAGAACTACGCGTCAATGTGAGAGCCCATCATGGGCGGCAACTTTGATTTGGCGGCAGTGCTGGACGCTCGTCGTGAAGGTGCTGGAGTACCCGCCCCACCAAGGGCCTTGACCATGTTTGCGTGTTGTTGCTTGAGCTGTTGAATTTGAGCCTACGTGTTGGTTAGCACCGTGGCAGCAATAAAACCCACAGCTAGCGATCGATACCTTTTGCAACTCGCTCTCTCGACGAAGCTCCATCTCGCGCTCGTCCACAGCCCGTCTGTCGCGGTGTTTGTTCTTTAAGTCGTTCACTTCGCTCTGACTAGCCTTGACTGCATGGAACTCTCTGCGCAAGTCGTTGACCTGTTCGTGCATGTTCAAAGGATGACAGGGTCATAGGGGGAACGGGTCCCGCGCACGGACCTGCACCGTCAGAATCGCGTTTTCTCGCTTGAGGCGCATCATCTCGCTGTGGTTGATTTTGAGTCCCTTGACGAGTTTACTCTTCATGCTTTCCACTTCCTTCTCCAAATATTCGCGCTGGCGATTGTACTCCTGCTGCGCGTCGACGTCGCTTGCGACTTCTGTCACAATCTTGCCTGTTTCGTACTTTTTGTACAACGCTACCGCCAGGGATTAGCCGTCGCACGCGCGGTTCCTTCCATCGTACCGATCACGGACGCCTTGAGCGCCTTCTTCTTCTCGAGGAGCTGTGCGCTGTCGTGGAGGTCGCTTTGGAACTGCCGAATGAATTGCCGCATCGTTTTGATCTCGAGAGATTGGTGGTTGATGTCCTGTCGTGCTAGCATCAATGTCGCAGACTTTCATGGTCGTTTGGCTGACCTTTTGCATGCCGTCCATCTTCAGCGTGAGTTCGCCAATCATCAAGTCGAGCGCAGCGTTCGACTTGTGGTAGTGCTCCAACTCTTGGTCCATCTCTTCGATCTGGAGCTTCATGTCGGCGATTTCGTTCTCACGGGGCTCGATCTGCCGCTTGAGCTCTTTGATCTTGTAGTCCAAGACAAATTTGAACTTTTCCAGCTCTTGATTCTTCTTCTTGAGGTCGTAGATGCGCTTTTCTTTGTCCTGAATCGTCTCTTCGCGCTCGCGGATTTCTTTCTTGTGTCCCTGGATATCCTTCTCCAGGCCCTTGATGTTTTCGTACAGCTCCTTTCCCTTTTCCTGCAAGCTGCGTATTTCCTCCTTTTGGTCCTCAATGTCTTTTTGCAGCGCTGTAAACTTCTTTTTCATGATACCGTTCTCGCCTACGTCATGTCCGTTGGTGGCGCTGGGCATAGCACGTCTCTCTCCCTGCTGGGGAGGACTGCCACGAGTCAGTCTATCGCAGTACCTTTCAACCGCAACGTCGCCTCCCGCTCGTCCAGGAACTTTGCGTCATACTTGGCCTTGACCTCTTCAATCTCCAAGTCGGCGTCCTCCTCAACTGCGCCACACGCCGTACGTTAGGACTTTCGTCGGGACGCGACACCGCCGTCATTGCCACAACACGTACTCTGGTTCTTGCTGTCCTCGAACTCGGTCACGATCTCTTCCTTCTCGGTGCCCAGCCGCGTTTGTTTCAACTGCTCGCCGTCGACTTTGCGATCGTACTCGGACGTCATTTCAGCCAAAAACTGCGTGTGGCTTTCCACGAGCAGCTGGTTCTCCTCGTCCCATCGCGCGTTTTCTTCGTCGCGCTCTTGGATGAGGGCATCGTACCGCTCGACTTCGGCTTGGATCTTGGCCTCGTACCTACAGGTCGTCAAGCAAACGGCTGGTAGCCGCCGGAGGCGTACGTCGTGCGTATTTCATCGAGCTCCCTCGTGTGTGTGGCCTCCAGCTCGCTCAACTTGGCGTCGTACTCGGCCTCCATTTCCCGCTTGTCCTCTTGCAAATCCGTGCATCGCTGCTTGTCTTGGGTCAGCTCGGAGGTAAATTTGTCACTACACAGCACATCAGCGAAATGAATCGACGGGACACGCCAAACCTGACTTCTTGAATCTTTTCCTTATAGTTCATGTCCTTGAGCCGTAACTGGTACTCGTTGTGCAGCGTGAGCTCGTCGACTTTGACCTTGAGCTCTACGCCCCGTGGTCATTCGTCTCCACGGGTCCATCGCCACCCGTTCAGAGAGGTAAGCACGCACCTTGCATCGTCTGGTTCTTTTCTTCCAGGTCCGACTTGGTCACAAGAATCTCTTCGGCAAACGCCATGGCGTTCTCGCGCTCGCTGCGCCCTGGATCGATGCCGTGAGAAGGCGCAAATTGCAAGTCGACGATCATGGAACTAGTTCGACCTTTGAGCTTGGAGCTCGACAGCTCCTTTGTTTCGAAGATGCACAGCGACCCGTCTTCGCCGACCGAAAACAGATATTGGCTGTCCTGCGTGCCACGGTTAAGCCACCAACGACACGCGACGATAAACGAACATGCGATAGCCGAAGGCGCGACACCGCCATGTCGTGGCACTGGAATTCGCTGTACGTGCTCTCGGCCTCAAGCGGCAACTTGTACGCGCGGATGCATCCCGGCCTCTGCGGCTCGGCCGTCCCGGCGAACAGGTACTGCTGCGACGTCGTGATAGCCAGCGGTCCTGGTGACCGGTGTCGAGAAGAGTGCTTCAGGATCTTATAGAAAATGCACGTACCAAGCAGCACGCCCGAATTGTGCTCGACGCGAGGTGCCCCCGCGGCGATATCGATTTCCTTGAGGGTGCCGTCTGTCCCCGTTGCGAACAGCATTGTCGAGTCAGGCGACAAGGACAGGTCGTGGTAATTGCACCGCGGATGCGTGTGGCCTGGAAAACACCGCGCCGAGATCAATGAAGGAGGTGTCGATGATGGAGCGATGCCGTCTCGGCACGATCGATGCAAGATGGACACCGCACCTTCGCCAACTTTGACGGCGGACCGCAAGTCCCACTGGAAAATCGACCCGTCGGACCCACAACTCATGAGTTTGCGGTCGTCGGATTTCCACAAGAGCGCGTTGACTTGGTTTGTGTGGCCACGCAGCACCGCCATGAGCTCCCCCGAGTACGTCCCATAAACCTGCGCTGGAGGTCACGACCCGGCTTGGTCGGAAGCGATCGATCGGTAGGACGTACTTGGATCGTGTTGTTGTTGGCAACTGCAAAGTACTGGCCGCCGTGGCTAAATCGGACCTCGCGACAGGCCTTGACTCCTACAAAGCCGTCCCGGGTCAGCGGCGTCAATCGCGATGACCGATTGCAACGCACCAAATTCGCGGTACGGTCGAATGTCGTCCATCAGGATGTTGAGCATGCGCAGCTTGTCGGAGAATGCCACAACAACGTGGAGCCCGCTCGGGTGCAGCGCCACGGCGAGGGCTTCTTCCTTGAAGAACTTCAAGATATCGGTCGACTTGTCGCTGTAGTTCCACACCCGCACCGACTTGTCGACACCGCACGTGACGATCAGTGGCTTGCGAATGCAAGTGTCCAAGCTACCACGACCGACATAGCTCGCTCATCAACGCATGAAACCCCGCCATGAACATGACGGTACCCGGTGATTTGAGCGCCGTGCTGGCCGGGGCGATGAAACGCAGTCGAGACCAGTTCAAAGTTCATCGCGTCTTCCTTCAAAATGTCCGTGGAGCTCAGAGTGAGCATGTACAACTGGTTGTTTTCGAGCGAGCAGATCAACGTGTCTTCACTCGGGGAGATCGCCAGGTGCTGGATGCATTGGGGGTTGCCGTCGATCGTAAAGACCTTTGTCCGTTTAAAGTGTTCGCGGGAGTCGTCCGACTTTTCGTAGATCCGAACGACGCCGCCGGACCCACCGCAAACAAATCCTGCGGTCCGACCGGTCAAAGCCTGCAACGTTGTTTGCGCGTACCTTTGGAGTACGCCAAGAGCGACGAGCAATATTGGCCGTCGGTTGGCGACGACGACAGGACTGCACGAAACTCCATGTTCTCAAACAACCTGCCAAGAGAAAGACGACCTGAATCCCACAGACATGCGTGACGACGGTCATACCATAGCTCTCCAGTGATGGTGGCGGCAACGACCCGGTCATCTGGAAGCCATGTATGGCATAAAAAGTTGCCAGGCTCACGCTTGAGCGAATTGACTTGCTGACGCAGTTGCCCTGTGGTCGGACAGACGAGGGTGAATGTGGTGCATGGAAAAGGAGGCGCGCGGAGCTAGGACGAACCGTCCATGATCTTGAAGAATTTTATCGTTCCGTTGCCGCTCACACACAACGAGTTGGCATCGGTGGGGCAAAAGTCGACTTGGCCGATAGTGCTGCCGTACTGTGCCGCACTCTTGAACGCTGTCACGGCTTTGGCTTTCTCCCACGACCACAGCATGAGGTTCCACTCGGGTGCAGCCCCCTGGCCGACCAAGTACTTGCCATCCGCGGAAAACGCGAGACTCACCTACACCACCACAAAACGCTGTCACTCGAGTCATTGTCCACGTGGAACTTACATAGGACTCTGCCCCCAAGTCTGAGTAAACGAGCGGCTTCTTTCGTCGAAATGTAGTCAGGTCATAGATGTTGATCACGCCGACATCGCCCTTCTCGGCCATGGCGAGGTACCTAATGCCGGAAGTGAACCCTTGGATAGCTCCTGCACGCCCAGCTGGTGATCGTACTTTCGATTTGCTGACACTGCCATTGCTGTAAACCCACCCGAAGAACCACTTTCCATGCCGTGCAAGAACTGTTGCTCCTTCGTCTCGATGCTGTGAATGACCAGGCAGTGGCCACTCGGGTACACAACGACATTCTCTTCGCAAAACGCTATGTTGTTCTTCACCGTGCCCTTCAGACCATACATGTAGCGATGCGTCAGGATTGACGAGCTCGCATTCGACCCACTAGCTAGTGGGGATGCCGTCGCTGCCATCTCGACGGACCGGCGACCTTTCTGATCAAGACGCGGTTTTCGTAACCGATGCAATCGTCCGTATAATTCCGGTAACTGTCAATATTATCCGGATGTGTCGACCAACCCATTGTTGCACCATGCGTGACGGCAAGGACGACGACGTCGCGCTTCAGGAGAGCGCGAGGAAGATCCAAGGCATGTATCGTGTCCGCATGGCTCGGCGGCGGCTACGCGAGCTGCTCAAGGCAGTTGTTGAGCGCTTCTACGACGAGGATTCAGGTATTTTTGGACGTCTGGAAGGCAACATCACCCCATGCCGAGTCGTCGTACAGGCATGTATTACTACTACAACGCCAAGACTGGCGAGAGTTCGTGGTTCAAACCCACCTTACTCGGCAGCGACGAAGCGAATTTATCAGCTATTTATGCCAACAACACAGACGGTAACACCCAATGCTACAAAGGCACACTGAGCTGTCTTACCTCGCGTGGTCGCTAGCCGTCGCTTCAGGAGGCGAGAAAGGTCTTGAAGGAATAAGGAATCACTGCATGACGAGTATTACTATTAGTGGACTCCCCCATCGCGGTTGAACACGTTCAGAATCCCCTAGAAGGTACTGTGTGGAGCGCATCCCATCGACACCACTCAGATGATTCAGATAACATCTTATAGCCAACAACGAAGAATCTGTCATAAAGGAGTTGCCCGGCAGTATGAACAACTCCAGCATCTCGTGCTGTTTACTCGTGACTGACCGCGCGCCTCGGTCAGTTGGCGTAGGCACTCCCTTAGCCCAAGATGCCCCACTCAACGAACCCGCTGCAGACATCAACCCCTCCACGATCCCAGACAGCCGCGCCGAGACTCCGCCAGTTCCAGACATGTCAACTCCGGTCGACGATGAGACTCAACTCAACGACACCTCTGAAGCTTTTACACCAGAGGAGGTCGCCCTCATCAAAGAGCAATTTCAAAAATTCGACCCAGACAACAGCGGGTCGATCTCGGCCGAAGAAATGATGGCGATCATGCATGCTTTTGGCGACACATCAACTCTGGACACGATCAAAGGTTTGGCCACCCATGACTGCCTAACTTGGTCTTTTCGTGCAACTATCACGTGCTCTGTTGTCCATGGCAGCGTTGATTCATGACGTGGACCGCGACGGCAATGGAGAAGTCAGCGTGGATGAGTTTATCATGATTCTACAAATGCAGCGCGGGAAGGATTCGTGTTGTCCGTCCCTCGAGCTTGCCATCATGTTCGGCCCCGATGAAATCGCAAATTTGAAGCGCCAGTTCCAACAGGTTGAGCACGAACGGATGGCTACCATCTATGCGTTCAGCACGCGACTGAGTAGCTGGACAAAGACAGCAGTGGCGAAATCGACGTCAGCGAGCTCGCGATTCTCATCAACAGCCTCGGACAGGACGTCACCCCTGCCCAACTCCGCGAGATCATCGACGAAGTGGACCGCAACAAGAATGGCACGATTGACTTCAATGAGGTGGAGTCTTCTTGCCTTCGAGCGATCGATTCAACAGATCGATCGAGCGCATTCTCGTAGTTTTGCCACATTGTCTACAACATGCGCAACCCGACGCAAAGCCGTACGATCTCCTCCAACCGTTCATCGCCCTGACGCTGTCGGTAGGATTTGCGACGTTGCTGCATTTGGGGGTGGCCAAAGGATTGCTTAAGGACTTGGGCAACGTCATGAATGCGACGGGGGCACGTGTGATGGCGTGGTGGTACGAACGGTTTATCTTCATGTCCCTCTGCATGAATTTTGTCTCGATGACCGTGTTTGCCTTGCAGGAATGCCGACAAGATCGCTGAAGAACAGCGCCTCAAAGCCAAACGAGAACGAGCGCTGGAGCGGCAGCGACTCTTGCGAGAACAGTGCGTTTCACAAAGTGGTGGACGCCGAGGGAACTGTCGTAAAATGGTGACGGTAGGGAAGAACGAGAGCGGCAGATTTTCCAGGAAGAGCTCGCGAGGTTAGCGGAAGCCGAAAAGGCACGGTGGGCCGTTGTGCCCGGCCTGCAACACGAGATCTTGTTTGACGGGTGAGCACTGCATTTTCTTCCGAACGGAGCGACTTGGGTTGACGAAAGCTCTGTTGGTCTAGCGATAAGGAAAACTACCCAAACAAGGGCCAGTACGCCCGCGTGCATTATACAGCTATGGTACGTGGTGTGCATCGTCTATCACTCCATCTTGAATCAATTCCGTTTAGTTTGAAAATGGTCAAGTGTTTGAGGCATCGCGTAAGCGAGGTGGCGCGCTCGAATTCAAAGTCGGGGCCGGCCACGTGATTCAAGGTTGACTGCGTCTTGGGCAGGCCATCCCCACGTCGTGGAGCTGAAATTTTCACAGGATGGGATCTCGCAATTCCTCGGATGAGCGTGGGGGAAACCGCCAAGATTACTTGTGCGCCCAACCTTGCATACGGCGTTCGGGGTACGCGGCAACAGGCGATGGAATTTTGAATGTTTACCTAACTCTTGGATGAACGACCAGGACGCCCACCGAAAATCCCGCCCAATGCCACGTTGGTGTTCAAGGTCGAATTGATTGCGATCCACGAAAAGGTGCGCATGGACCAAGGGGCTGATAGTGACGACGAAGGCGCAATGTGACCACCCCTTCGAGCACTTATTGCATCAGGTTTTGGCTCCAATAATGCAAAAATGCTTCTTCCTGCATCTTGGACAGGTTCCCCATATACTTGGACAGCGCAAACACGTCGAGCGATCCCTACGCGCACCAAAAGTTAGAATTTTCTTGTCGTGGCACGATCACGTGGAGGGTGACTGTACGTAGTGTATAGCGGATTCAAAGGTCGCGGCGATACCACTTGCGTTGCACAATGGAAAATCCGACACGGGGTAAAAGACAACTTGCGTGCGCGAAGGGTGCGGCTGCTGGGCTTGCTGGGCTGGTTGCGAGGACTGTTCCTTGTAAAAGCCAATCTATTCCGATCGAACACGCCACGTCAGATCCATCGAGCTCGACAAACTCGAGAACACCGTACAAGTTGATGATACTGGTCAAACGCAGGCAGCCCCAACTTGTCGCCCTGGTCGAATCACGGACATTAAAATATGCCAACGTGACATGCGTCGGTATGTACCCGCATATCGGTAGACATTGCGGCCAAGATGAACGCGACGCATACTTCGGGATTGTACCCTGCATTCGCAACGCTGCTGCCACCCGCACTGGCATGATTGCTTGGAGTGGATCCCATTTGTTGTTGCATCATATTCCAGTTGCTACTGTTGTTGGAGGGGGTGGTGGTGCTGTGCTGAAGCCCATTGGGTCCCCCTTGCGCCGACTAGACACAACTCCTCAACTGTTTGGCGTCAATGGAATCGCCGTACCATGTACATGTCCATCATGAGCATTGGCTTGGCCAGAGCATCCGCCGATTCTGGCGACAACATGGACGAGCTGGATGGCGTTGGCGCTTTTGTCGACAGGAATATGTTGTCGAGTTGATGGGAAGGAGTTGATGATGGCTTCATGTAGGACTGGTGTTGCCCTGTTTGATGCTGTGCATACGGCGTTCCTGCGTGCTGGCCTCCTGGTGTGCCAGCCATAGAAGGTGGCGAGGGGCCAGTCGGTGTGTATGCTACGTGATTATATCCGTATACCATCTGCAAGAGGCGCCGTACGAGCGTGAGTGGTAGATCCACCAAACAACGAGAATGCGTTGGGCAACTTACCTGAGGTGTCTGCACTCGATAGTGGGAGTGCGGGCGAGAGGTGCTAGAGCTCGCATGCTGTGGGAGTTGATGGTACGACGGATGCTGTTGTTGCTGGCGAAAGTAGACGCAAGTTGGCGCGTGGCTCGCTTGCTGCGACACGTCTGTCAAGGCCAGGCACGCGAGACAACGGTAGATTGGCGCTTGTTTGTTCATGGAGCCGTCGTGTTCGTGGATCTCGTACCCCACGAGCTTCCATTCTTGCATGGTGTCAGTCCACGTAGGCCGGGCTGCATTCGCCCAGGTTAGGTTTCACTCCATGGATGGATCCGTACCGCGTGGAAGGTTGTGCGGGGTGGCAGTCGTATGTCGGCGGTTCATGGGAGTCTTGTCATTGGAACAGGCATGGGTCGGTGTGGAGTGGTGAACGGGCGTGGGAAGGGCGCGTGGCCGTTGGGCTCCGCTCGTGACCTCGGACGGCGACGACGCAGTGTTGTTACTCGGAGATTTGAGCCCTGCTACAATGAAAAGTCCATTCAATCTGGAAACACTCGCAGCGGTCCTCGAAACAAAATCGAGAGGAAGTAGACGAACCCAATCGTCGCTTGTTCCGTTTTGAACGGATGGCGACTGGAGCCGTGCGGACACTGGAGATATCGGCGTATACGTTGCTCGACTCTGGAGCGATCTGCAATACAAACGAATGGTTCTGGTGGTTCTTGCTCACGTCTTCGATGCTGTAGACCCAAAAACAATTCAAGTTGGCCCAAGTCATCACGGCAGGTTGAATGGTACCGGAATGAAATGCTGACGTGGCCATTCGTGATGTTCGGCCGTAAGTCGGGAAACAGCTTGAGAATGCCCGTGGACGGCGACGTCGCGACAGCGGAAGTCTGTACAACGTCTCCACTGTCGTAGAGTAGCGTTAGCTCCAGTGGGATCTGGAAAGATGTCAGTTCGCTGGTGTCATTGCGTGGGTGGACTCACAATGCGCTGCGAAACAGTGTGACCGGGCGCGGCTTCGACCTGTACTTGGATCGTCATGCACTTGTCTCGACCGCCTTCGTCCTTGAACCAAACGTCGGGAGGTTGTTCTGTCACCACGAGTTTTTCCTGACGGGAAGAACAGCATGATGATCCTGGTGAACGACATGGACATCGCTGAGAAGAAGAAGTGGGTGCTGGTCTACCTGGACGATCGTGATCGGTGAAGTCAAGACAGACACCATCGGGTGCGGGGCCGCGAGAGAGCATCTTAGGCACATGTTCTGGACAACGTGGCGCAGGTGAAAGCGAAAGGTGCATATTGCCGACGTAAAAACAAGCGGCGTCGCGGGATCGATCACCTGCGTCGCACAAGCATCATTTCTTGTTCGCCAAGGCGATCGAATGCGAGTTGCAGTGTACCAGGTGCGACGACGATTCTTCGGTCAACTTGGTGTCGGCGTGAACAAGCGCGACTTGAAATGGCAGCGGGAAGCTGTATCGGGACACTTTCCATCAATGTTATGGCAAACACTCCACAGGACTCACGTGATGTCGTCGCCATGCTGCAAGCGCAGTGTGCACTCGACGAACTCGTCGGGAAAGGCATGTGCTGGCAATGGCCTTTCCACACCAAGGCTCAGCTATAAGCGTCGCGTTACGTGAATCAATCCTCCACGTCGTCGTACGTACCGATCGTGTCGCAGTGCTCCCTTCCACAGCGATGAACGGCATCGATGGATCGGTCCCTTCGTCGCGACGTCGGCGATTAATGGAGTGCGGACGTGCGGATACAACTCACGACACACATCAAGCAGTGGCGCATCGTCAATAAACGCACGTTTTATAGTAAAACGTTATTCCTAGAGATGCGTTATATCCATCAAGGACGAGTCATTGACTGAACTCTAGGCAGGCAAAAAGAATTGGGATACGGCACGTTGAAGGAGTCGCCCGCGGTGCCCATGTACGCGAGCGCGAGAAGTGTTCTGCAGGCATTTCCACGTCCCAACGTAGGTGGGATCGTTGCAAGTACACCAGGTTGGTTGAATAAAACGTGCTAGTAAAACCACAAGCGCTAATCACCTGTTTTTCAGTAAAGGCGACTCAAGTCATGACGGACCGAATGTTTGACGTTGCAAAGGAATTTGATGCATCTCTTACAGGACGCTCGGCGGGGGCGACGCCGTTTGGCAGCGCGAATTGTCTACGTTCAGCGTAACAGGGCGCTCCTCGTACGCGGGGGCATAGTAGGCTCCTCCGTGGGCTGATTATTCTTGTCCTGAAGGCTCCACAAGCTCACCCCAACGGGCTACGAGCGAGTCGACCGGCATGCGGGGGTGAAAGTGAAATGCAGCCATTAGACGTCGAAGACGGGCGTCTGCGAACTACCCACTGTCGGGGGTGGGCATGCCGACAACTACAACGAAAGGCCGCGCATTCCACGGACGGTCGGTACCACTACAGTGGACATCACATTGGCCACCATTACTGCGCGCGGATGAGCGTCGAAGTTGGCATGTGCATCGCTCTGTACAACACAAGAAGCGGTAATGGATTCAAGGTCAGGAGTTCTCGTCTATACCGCTATGTCGAGGCTCGCACGCCGCCACGTGGCGAACGAGAGATGAGTAAAGCTGTCAGCATTCCGAGCAACGTTGGCGTGCGGTCTTCTGGAGATATATTCATGTGCTCGCGTTTTCAGCCTTGTTATGAAAAAGCACGTGTACGGATGGCAACATGGGGATCAGATTACTAAAGATAAAGAATTGGTCGTGTGGGGGGCAGTGGAGGACGTCACAAGTGAACACGCACGGGCAAATGCAAAGCCACAGGCAAATGAAGACAGGAGCGGCTGTTGTGCGATGCACAAGCATTCACATGCACAGCCATGAGCCTGAACAAGATCGCTGTGCGCCATTTCAAAGGTGTCCAGGGGGGGTTGGCATGGGTCCTCGCACTGGCACTTTCGCATCAATGGCTGAGCGGCATAGTTGTTGAATAGTCGCTGTACAAATAGCCTTTGTGCACCTAGCGGAAGCTTCTGTCCAGGGCACCATTTCATATTTGCTTTCCTGATGTAGGTTCTCCCTTACAATGACCATGCGTACTGTTGCACGGTCATCAAGATTCTGGAGAACCACGCGCCATTGCAGTCGCTCGCCAAAACGACTGGTGACCCAACCTCTCGAGAGGTCATCGCACTTGACACCATGCATCTTCCTGACGTCCACACACCCGCACTCCCCTCCCAGGTCTTGATCATCATCACGTCCCCATGCTGCTGCTACCTGCTCGCCACAAAATTTTAAAATGCGGAGTTGGCCGATATCTGACCGGATATGAAAAGCATTTTCCGGATAGCACTCAAATCAATGAGGCACTTGGTGAAGCCAGGTCCTGAAGGACATGTCGGCAACCAAAGCCAACGAGCAGCTGCCGTTGCTGGCGAAGTACTCGACGAGCGGCCTCGCCAAAGATGAATTGACCCATGTCATCGCCATCTCCCTCCCGTTGGTGCGTTGCTCTATTCCCCTGTGCATTCTTCCCATCCTCTGACAGGTTTCCTCGGCTATCCTCGAGTATGTGTTGAACAGCATCAACGGTATGTACACCGGTCACTTAAGCACTGAGCCAAGCGAAGTTCAACTTCTTCTTGCGGCGAACGGCTTATCGTACTTGTTCTACGCGCTGTTTCTGTACAGCCTGGCGATTGGCGTTGGCACGGCCCTCGATGCCATGTGTGCTCAAGCACACGGACGGGGCGCCAAGGCCGAGATTATTGTGCTGCTTCAAACGGCCGTCCTGTGCAGCGCTGTCTTAATGATCCCTATCTTCTTCACATGCTACTTTGCCACGGACATCCTGTTGCTACTCGGTCAAAATCCACAGGTGGCTGATGTCACGGGGCGACTGCTGTGGATTATGATGTTTGGCCTTCCCTTTTGCTTTGGCTACGAGATCTTCAAGCGTATTTTGCAGTCCCAGAACATCGTTCTGCCGGCCGTGTACGGCGGAGTCTTTGCCAACGTCACCAACGTGGCCGTGGCGTACGTCCTCATGTACCGCACGTCCTTGGTTCGTCATCTGCGATGGGCCGTTGACAAGATTTGATGGGTTCCATCTCTTTACGTGCAGGGATTTGTGGGCGCTGCATATTCGTTCATTGCGGTGACGGTCGTCTACTTTTCCGTGTCGTTGTACTATGTTATGCAAGCGACCTACTCGGATTGGATTCGCCAGTGGCACCTGCATGCCGCTGTGGCGCATTTGCCATCGTTCTTGTTCTTAAGGTATAGCAAGACGCGCGATCATTGAATCGTCGCTCACTCTCGTGGTGTGTGCAGTGCGTTTGGCTGGTTCATGTTTATCTCGGAGTTTGCTTCGGTCGCACTCACGTCAATCTTGGCCGGTACAGTCGACAGCATGGCCTCGAGATTCACAAGCATTTCATTCTTGTAGGCCTGTTGCCCCGTGCAAACTTGGCGATTGCTTCCAACAACATCTTTATGGGGTTCCGTCAAGTGTTTTTCATGGTGTACATGGGGCTTGGGGTCGCCAGGTACGTAGACTCTCCACCTCATCGTTTTATATGTACCTAAAGTTCGTTGCTTGTAGCTCCGTGCGTGTGGGGAATGCCCTTGGCGCGAACGACCCGACCCGAGCCAAGGTCGCGGCGGTTCAAACCGTGGGGCTGGCGTGTTCGTGGGCTGTCTTTACGTGTGTTTTGATGTTGGCGCTGCAGCATGTCTTCCCGCACGCGTACACGAACGACCCTGCCACGTTGGAGTATGTTGCTATTTCAGTTGGTTGCGCCTGGTGTTAATGCATTGTGGTCATGCGATGCGGTAGGTTGACGGCGCAGCTGATGGCTGTGAACGCGCCATTTCAAATTGGGTTTGCCATTTGGATGGTCATGCAAGGCGTGTTCCGAGGCAGTGCCAGGCCCCATGAAGGCGCATTGTGGAATGTGCTTGCGATCTTGGTCGTCGGCGTACCGGCGGGGTGGTTCTTGGCTTCCAACTACGAATGGGGCATCCTCGGCATCTGGGTCGGTATTTCTGCGGGCTATGCCATATGCGCCGTCTTTGGTCTCTACTGGCTGGCCACAGTCGACTGGGTGGCCATGGCCAAGGAAGCCAGCTCGCGCTTGACGGTGGATTCGCCCAGTCATGAATTGCTCGCCTAGTCGCTCAAGACAAGGGGATCGGACGGCCAACATGCGAAGGTTCCGATCCATAACTTTGACACGTCACGCTGTGCTAACAGGATATGCACGACGTCGTGCCTGCATGATTCGACTGTTGTGGTCCGTGAATTCTGTTGGCCAGTGCAACCCAACGGGGGCGAGTGCGATGGGCGCCGAGTCCGTCGATGAGTTCGAGAACTCGTTCCCATTCGCTTTGAACAAATGGCTAGCACCCGCGCGGTCGCGCTTCCCACTCTCGTGACCGACCAAGAAGGAAGCATGTATTTTATCAAACAGGTTACTGAGAAACCCTCGCCGATGGTGGAAGTGGCTGCGTGGGAAAGACCATGACAATGTTATCCCCTCGGATCAGGAGCTGCCTGACGAATCGCTTCACGACGTCGGGAGGACGCAGCTGCCCGGGCGCGATGGCTCGGACGAGAGGCTCAACAGAGTGGGGTGGGTGGGTCAGTGGAATAAATGCTTCCGTCACGTCGAACAGCACAACGTTCATGTGCTTGTCAAACCCTTTGAGGTAACCTGTGCACGTGCCACGAATGCTGCATATTCGCCGCACGACTACCACGACACGGGACCTGGCCATCAAGCACGCGTGCAGCAAACTCAATGGACCCTCCTTATGCAGTTCTACAGCTCGATGATCAAAACGATGTTGTCGCGGGAAGCTCGTGTTGTACCGGCAATTGCATGCAAGATGGGTGGTTTCTTGGCACCTGTCGTCGCGTCGTGGGGTTTCCTGTCAGTTGGACCTGTAGGATTTGTTTTGGTGTGAAGGAACTGGGGATGGTTTCGAGGCAACTACATATCCAAGGGAGAATTGAGCGAGGGTGGAGAGATTCAAAGGTCTGAACGAACGAGCTGGCGGCACTTGTACATGTTGTCGAGTGGGGGCGCGGACAAAACGTTGTCCAGGCGATTTTGAACCAGTGCCTTGTGTGCATTGAACGCCGAGCAGCGGACGTCAAAGGAACCACCAAACGAAGGTCGAGCGGTCTTTGGCGTGTAACTGGGGTCGAATTCTGTCAGGATCTCGGCGGCCTCTGCTACTTCAGCCTACAATTCGTCATGGGTGAACAATGGAGTGAGTTCGCACCTCCTGGCACACAATGTCGGGAGCGCACCCGTACTTCTTGTGCAACTTGGCACACAGAACGTCCTCCCGCCCCGAAAACACTCGCAGAATCTCAGGTCTGCATACGCCGTATGATTTATTCACGCATGATGGATATGGCTGCGTACATGTTCACGAGATTCTCGGGATTGTACTTTTCATAGAAGGCGGTGATGCGGTCGCGCTGCCACGCCTCCATTGTTGAAACGCGGGTGGGTTTCATATGTGTTTAAAATACGTTCGAAACGCATTGGATTCACATCTCCAGGTATTTAAAATTGTTTCGAAGTTAGTTTTCAAAGTTTCCAACAGACCACGCAAAGATCAACAGCAGCTATTCTTCTTCTTCTTCTCAACTGGTGCGCTCAAATCCAAGGCGGAGGGCTTCTCTTCTGGCGTCGCATTCCGTGCCTTGTCTTGGTTGTACACCTCTGCAGCCACAACGTTCAACCTTGCTCACGAGACAATTCACGCACCAATCACGAGTTTCTCAAACGCTTCGACAACGTTTTGACCGGTCTTGGCTGAAGCGCGGATATCAAGAATGCCATCGGCAGCTAAAACGGCGGATTCGTGGTCTTCGGGGGTGACCACCGTGTCTGCTGGGTCCAAATCGATCTTGTTGCCCACCAGCATCAAACATGACAGCAAAGTACTATTCGTGTCGGCAGAGTTGCGCAATTCCTGCACTTATCGTGAGGCCAATTAATGACTTAGGTAGGTTGTACATACCTTGAGCCAATGTCCTTGAGCATTGTCGAAGCTCGTGCGGCTGCTCACATCGTAGACAATCAGCGCTCCCGCCGCACGACGGTAATGCCTACACATTCCTCGATTGGGCTTACGCTCGAGTTCAAATTTACGTACGAGCTTGTGATAGCACGGTAGCGCTCTTGGCCAGCAGTATCCCAAATTTGAGCCTTGATACGTTTGCCATTAGGATGGGTGATAATCTTTGTGCCAAATTCCACGCCAATCGTAGGTTTTCTGACGTTGCTACCAGAGCAAGAAACGAAAGGATATCAGGGAGAACTCCAGAGCACTGAAGTTCTTTCAATGCAGACAAGCTAGGTACCTGAAAATCTTGGACGCGTTCGTGGATGCATCGATCGCCATATCTTCGTCCGATGCAGTGAAGTATGCAAGGAGATTCGTCTTGCCGACTCCAGGGTCCCCCACAAGCACCACTACAATGTGAGTTGGCTCAGACACTGCATTGCATGTATGCCAAGGAATGGCGCACCTTTGTAGAGCTCGTCGTATTGTTGATCGGGCGCGGCCATGGCAGTGGTGATGGCGCAAGTCGTTGGATTCGAGAATGCACACAGGATGTGTGTGTGTTGCAATCCTGCGAGGGGACAAAGCCAGTCCCCAGTGGGGAAAACTCCCGCTGACATACTTGAAGTGAAGTGTTTCAAGTGGGAATTTGCCCAATGTTAAGAGAAGAATACTTACTTTCTACTACGACCCCCCAACCTCAACAACGACAACAAACTCCAATGAAATTCATGGAAACGATGTCGTGTAACATATTTCACAAATTTCCGAGCATTAATATCCAATCATACGAAACCAAAAAGTATTGACCGTCTATTGGCGAATAAAAACAGTCGTCGCGCTTCAGTGCGCGCAAAAATATACGCCATCGCGCCAAATCAAGATATAATTTCATCCAATCGTCCTTGTCTAACGACGATTATTATCGAAGGATACTTTCCATTGGACAATCCACAAGCGCCAATTTTTAGACGCTGCACGTCAATATCGTGCTGAAGCAAGTCGTGAGCTGCTCCAACCTGCGCAAGAAGTATTCGCCAGCTCGCTACAACAGGTTATAACTACAGACACATTGTCAATCGTGCATCATTGTTATGTCTAAACATCATACACATGTAGAAACAACGACAATCAAACGTCAAACCCATGCCCAGAGGTTCGAAACTCGACCAATTCGAGAAGGGCCAGATTGCCGCACTTTTCAGTCACCTAGTCCCAATCGCGACCATTGCAGGGATGCTTGGCAGGTCCCGAAGTGTCATTCGAGCCTATCTTGTCAATCCAGACAAGTATGGAACCACCAAACGACCCGGAAGATCTCCCAAAATGACGCAATTGACGCAACAGAGGCTCATCCGAGAAGCTTGCAAGACTGGAAGTCAGCAAGCAAGCTCAAACAAGAACTCAACTTGAACGTGTCATTGCTTACCGTTCAGCACCATCTCCAAATGAGTGAGCGTCTCGAGTACGCGAAGCGGAAGCCAAGCCCAGTGCTCGCGGAACGACACAAGCGAGCTCGTTTGGACTTTGCTACGCGCCATCTTTCTGGACCTCCAAATTGGACTCAAATCATTTGGTCTGATGAGAAGAAGTTCAATTTGGATGGTCCAGATGGATGGCAGTACTATTGGCATGACCTTGCGCGGGAGCCAGACACGTTCATGTCAAGACGCAACGGCGGTGGGAGCGTCATGATTTGGGCCGCGTTTTCATCCCGCGGGACGTCCGAAATTGCTTTCCTAGATGGAAACCAAAAGTCCCACCACTATATCTGGACTCTCCAAGATTTTTTGTTTCCATTCGCCCACTTCAACCACGGCCTCGACTTCATTTTCCAACAAGACAACGCGTCGATCCACAAGTCCAAGGAAACGGTCGAGTTTCTCGAGCAGGAAAGGTTGCAATTTTCGAGCATTCAGTGTTATCGCCGGATCTCAATCCAATTGAGAACCTTTGGGGCATAGTTGCCCGAAAGATGTATGAAAGTGGTAAGCAGTATTTGCACGTAGGCGAACTGAGAGCAGCCATATTGCTGGCCTGGTCTCAAATTCGTCTGTCCACTTTGAATGACCTCGTTTTGAGCATGCCCAGGCGTTGTGTGGCAGTGCTGCAATCTAAGGGCGCTATTACAAAGTACTAGCTTTGATTTTGTGTCAATTGAACTGTACACGTTCATTTTTTGTTTGATGGCGTATACATCTTGCGCACTGCGTAAGCTCAAATTTGCTTTGAATCGGCAACTCAGTGGTGCCTTTGAACGATTCTCGTTCAAAGCACGCAAATATTGTTCGTAGAAGGCAGTCATCCAAGTTCGAGCTCATGCAACGGTCTTGCAGCCACTCATGACACGAAATTTTGCATGTCGTATAATTATTGCGCGCACTGTAGCACGACATTTACAGCAGACGAACGCATCGACCGAACTTCCGGATCCTTCTCGCGAGCCTCGGCGCGTAGGCTTCATCCACACTGTAAGCCTTCGGCACATTGGTGGCCTTGTTTGCGTGCGCGATCGGATCATCGACGGTTTTTCACCGCCTTGATCAAGTTGATCAGCGTGGAGAATTTGGGGTCTTGTTTGGCAATACGCTCGAAAGTCAAGTCTACCTTGGCATCAAAGCTCAATGGTAAAAAACTTGATGATGCGGTCGGCTTCGGGAGTCATGTCAATGGCTTCGAAGAGCTTGCGAGGGCATTCCTTGGAGTTGTGGATAAACGTCGCATACGACTCACGCTGTTGTCATGCGAGGTCGCGAGTTCGCGACGGAGCGGCATCTGGTTGAAAATTGTGGTTTCTCGTGAGTCTCCTTGAGGTGGCACCAGGAGAAGTTCGTATGAACCATCGTGGGGTTGGTCTTCTCGAGCTCGTTTTCCTTGATGTACATCAGATTGATACAGTGGAGGGACTAGTTGATGTAGGACTTGGACATGTAGTCATCGGCTTCGTCGTTTTCCTCCCAGCGGATGGTTGACGTTAACTACTTGCATAGCTATTGTTGGCAACTTTCTGTTCGATGCGATCTGCCCATTCGGCGTAATGGGACCCTTCAGCCATGAGCTGGACGGCCTCCATAACGGCATATTGCGTTGGGCTCTGAACCTGAAGCGATGTGGTGCGCAGTGGTGGCCAGGGTGGCGGAACAGAGCGGGGCAAATTGCAAGGTGAATTCTTGATGGTCATGGAGAAAGTATTGCTAACAAAGATATACATATACACAAACTATGCAATAGACCTCAAACACAAAGACTGTGTAATCAACCAGAATCACACCAGTATTCAAATTCACAAAACACGCATGGAAGTCACAACATGATTAGTCAGTCATAGGATGATTGTCGTGAAACAAATATTTCAGTCAGCAACTCACCACTCAATCAAGTGTGCAATCAGTAAATGAGCAAAAAGCGAATGACTTCGGAGATTACTCAGTGATCTCCGAAGTCACTCAAAGTCATTTTCAAAACGTGTTGTACAATCCAAAGACACAAGTCAACTGAATTCAAAATCGTGAAACTGACAGTCCGCGAGAGCATCGAGAGCACCAGCGAGTGTTACTTGGGACTGGGTAGGTGTCAAATTTCTTCATTCTTTTATCATTCGAATTGCTATAATGTGTTGAATAAAATGCTCCCAACAGAAAACTCCAGAACACAATGCACTTCAAAATATTCTCGCTTATCGTGCTCAAACTTGGCCAATTTCGGACGTGTAAGCTAATAAACTGTGTAATTGAATGTTAACCTGAGGAGCAGCAATAAAAAATTTCGGCAACAATAAAACCTCTATATTCCAATACAATAAATGGATGCCCAGAAATAGAAAAATCGCTCAATCTTCGTCATTTCTACTCCGTTTTGCACGAAAACGGTACCAAAATCACCGCACGCACAAGGCCAATCGTTTGCACATCGAATGAAAGCCCGAAAACTGTGGAAGTTACGGGCAAAAAACCATTTTCTATGGACATTGAGGTCATCCAGCGAATAAATATCTTTGGCAAGCAGCGCCGGGGGCGCAGCCTCACGTACCACGAGAAGCTAGATATTCTCATGCTTCAAGCAACTTTACGAGAAGCTCAGGTCGTTGACGTTGCCGGTGCAATTGCTAGTCTCCTTGGCCGCAGCACAAATGTTGTGAAGAACGTCCTCGCCGAATTTCTCCGGCATGGCGAAGTCTCGGTCAAACCTCCTCCGTCAAACACTTCAAAGCATTCCTCTCGTGTGCCATATACTCGACATGTTCGTTGCATGGTCCGTAAGTTCATTCGGGACCGGTGTGTTACACGAACAAGGACTGTTGCCAAGGATGTCATGTCGATGCTCGTGGATACAGACGTACTCTCTGTCAATGAGTACAGTCCCAAGGACAATTCTTCGTGCCTTCGGTCGGTTCAGGCATTCCTTGCTAAGGAAGGATATGAAAGAGGAAAACGATCGGGTGACACGACGTACAGACTGTCAAGAGACCATGAGTTGGCACGTGATGCGTACGTCGGGTTCATGGTTCCAACTGTCAGCGCCCAACCACGGAGGCCAATTGTGTATTTGGACGAGAGCTTCATCCACCATCACTACTCTCGACATGCGGACAGCTTGTTTGATCCCACTGACCCCGAAGCAACGAAACCCAAGCGTAAAGGACGGCGTTACTGCTTCATTGCCGCAATCCTTGATGATGGATCAGACGTGAGTCATCTGCTTGGCTTGGAGATTTTTGTTGGTGGGAAGAAGGATGGCAAAGAAGTGAAAGATTACCATGCTATGTTCAATCACAAGTACTTCACTGCTTGGTTCACAAGACAAATGGACGAAGTCGAAGATTTAGGTTGGAGGTCAGCGGTTTTCGTCATGGACAATGCAAAGTACCACAAGGTGAAACCAGAGTCAACTCCAAAAGGGAACTGGAAAAAGGAGGGCATGTACCAAGCCTGTTTGAAGTATGGTCTCAATGATGTGTCCCAGTCGGATCTCAAATCTGCTATGTGGGCCAAGTTGAAGAAGTATGTGTACGAGAACATCTTGCCTGTGGTTGTGAGTATGGCCCACCGTCGTGGTCACCATGTCGTCTACACTGCTCCGGGGTTTTCCGAGCTCCAACCAATTGAAATGATATGGGCGAATGTGAAAGGGACAGTGGGTCGTGCTTACACCTCCAAGACGACCTTCAAGGACGTGTTGGAACGTCTGGAAAAGGTCTTTTGGGAATTGGGCACTCCTACGATTTGTCAAACCATCCAAATCTCCACATGTAAGCAAATTTCACTGGATAGTGCCCTCCGGAATGCTGAAGTGACTGCCGACATCACAGAAATTGATCAAAGTCACTGTGGAAGTGACTCCTCACTGTCAAGAGGTATGTCAAGTGGAGATGAGAACATGATGATACTTCTGACAGCTAATAACTCTGTAAAGTAATTTTTGCATTTATATCATTCCGAAGAGGTAAACCAGTTGTTGAATATACAGCTCTCCTCCATGAAATAGTTAATAAGTTTTGGAATTTGAGCTGGTGCTCTCGATGATCTCGCGCACTATGAATAACATC